TTTGGTACGCACCTGTTTGGGCTCGTGAATCGACTAGTAATTCATTGTGCAGTAGGAAATCGATACCGAGTATAGCTGTGGGAACATCAGCAATGATGAACGTACACAGACACTGTCGTCGGTTGCTCAGGTTGACGGACAGCTGCCGTGTACCATATGTAGGAATGACAGAGCCATTCGTAGCGTGTAGCCGAAGCATCATAAGTTGAGACTTGCTGTTACCTAGTGATACGACAGAAACTTGGGCACCTGTGTCAATGAGGTACCTAGCTTTAGTGCGGGTATCGTGCACGTAAAACAGGCGGCCAACATGAGGTAAGGGGCCGACGAGTACGGCCGCGGTTACTCGTCGGATTTTAAGTTTCCTGCCTTGTATGATCAGGGTGCTCGACAATGACGGGCGCCAGACTTAAAAGTCTGGTGGAACCAGCACCAGCCGGTACTCTCTTCCGAAGCCGCCTTTTGGCGTGGCTTGGAAGATGCCCGCTGGAGGCGAGTACTTGCAGCCTTTAGAGATCGGTTCGGGTATGCTGGAACGATCTCGGAAGTTGAAACGGCTGTGAATACAGCAACCCCTATCAATCTGAGCCTTCATATTATTGGCATCGAGGTCCACGTTGATATGTAACGTGGACGCAACTGTGAGGTTTTATTGGTTGCCAGTTCGCGTGATTACTCTGTCTGCCACGAGTGCAGCCTGGGTAAGCGGCATGTCCTCTGGCAGAGCAGCGACCGAATGCTGAACATGAGCTGGTAGTGATTCTAGACACAATTCTCTGACGATGTCAGAGTCAGATGCCGTTGGTCATGCTAATAATTACAGGCGCTTAGTGTGGTGGCTATGTTTAGCATCACCCAGAGGGTGACGTTCTCAAAGTTTCCCCATACGTTCCTCCCTCGATGGGGGGAAATGCCGGAGAATTTCCTGCGTGAGACTATAGTATACGTCCGGTACACGAGATTTGAGGACTACCCCACGAACGGTGGCTATGTGATCCCCCGGTATAGATTCCAGGGTGTAGACATACATATGCCGCTGGTTGAAAAACATGGCGGATCTCTATTTCAGCTTCCAGTGCTGCAAACCAGACCTCTGGATCGTGGGGGATAAAGGCTACAGGTTGAATACTTAGGACCTGTATCTGTGAGTCAGCTAAAATATGGTCATTTTCGATTCTATCTACCATTTTCAGACGCTATTGTAGTTTATATATATATATATATATATATATATATATATATATATATATATATATATATAACAACAGTTAAAATAGTAAGAAGATGGGACAGAAAAATGACAGACTCACCGTATTTACTGCGTATTCGAATTTGTCGCTCACCAGTATAGCAACAAATGTTACTCCACGGACTCAAAGAATCAAGAAAGAAACAGATTATGTAGGAAGAAATATATTTGATACTGGCCTCGTAATATCGAAATAATACCGAGGCAAGAGGGCGTACAGAAAGTTAACCTCCACGCAAGAGACGTGCGAAGAGGAGAATGGGAGTAACACGCTTGGTGCGCGAGAGATAGTCTTTAGTACAGAAAAACAAGATATATACAGTATAACAATTATTGTCAGAATTACGTACAATAATAAATGTTTATATTTCATCAGTTGTGTTTTCTTTGTAAAAGTAAATCACTACAAGTTAGCGGTTGCTGTAGTTCTTTTGCCTTTTTATATTATATTTGCGAAATTCATCTGGTTTTGCAAATCGTTAAGCATTTATACCACGCAAAACCTACAGACTCAACTTACAGGCATGGCATAAGATTTGTGATCGTTACCCGTCATGATGAAACATCTGCGTTGGTCTACAGGAGAAGACAAATAATCTGAATAGGATGGCCTCTAAAAGTTCGAATCAACGTCACATAACTAGTAATCATTCATTATACATACTGGCTGAAATTCAGGAAATTCAGTAAAATTTCTACGTTATATTTGGCCTACTTCATCCCAATGTCTACAAATTCACTATTTACGTAGACATTTCCACAAAGTGTTCTACCTCCTGACGTTTCCCTTTAATTCGCACATTCATTTGGTAAGAATAGACTTCTTGCCAAAATAGACGCTTTTTTTATCTGCATTTTTATGATGTGAATGACTAGTGAGATCACATTTTCTTCAACCATATTCACATTGTTGTGGCGGTCAGTTATGCCGTTTGTAAGAATCTCTGGAAATCGTACACACGTTTATTGATACGATTATATGCTTGATACCAACATGTGAATTTCAGTGACCAGGCCTATCTGGTCAAGTCATGCCATTTCGATCGTGATCTGATGTTGACCTTCATCGAAGTTATCTATTTCTAACAGGTATTAACACCTGATTTACATATTAATACGGAGAGCTAATCAGATGTGGATGAATGAGGAAGCCACCTAATGACAACCAGAAATTATCTGCATAATATTTGTCGAGCGGTGGATTCGTTTTCTAAGAGGGATGAATATATATATATATGTATATATATATATACCTATGAGTAATTATGTATAATATTTAGTAGCCAAACAAACTTTCTCCTTTTCTGTTTCACTACTCAGTTCTTAGACTTACGGCACCACCAAGTCAAGGCATGATATACTTATATGTCGCGTATATTTTGTACTATAATTACGCCTGAATCTGCTCTGTAAATATACCACCTAATTTATCCAATTCTGGTTTTAACCTTCAAATTGTTATGACTTCACTCTTGTATCAGTGATGATCACTATCAAATACTTGATTCAAGAAATGCAAACTCATCTTTTAGTTAGTGAGTAATTTACTCACATTTTCTCGAGTTTTTCTTGTAGCGGAACACTTCTACGAAGAAAAAGCGATTGGTGAAAAATAAGCATTTATTATTGTACTCGTTTTGTTTAATTGTGCCAAAAACACTTTCTTGCGCTCAACGTTCGTTTCGCATTGCTGTCATTTTTTATAACGTGCTGCTCTCTATGTAATGCCTACTTTCTCCTTCAAATAAATATTACATCCTGGATTTATTTCTATATTACGTTACGGGACAGTATGGAACATTTAGTGGTGATCATAGTCAATCTCGAATCGATCACCATTAAATTCTGTTCACCAAATTTTTTCACACATTTTTGTATTCAAGCCCATCGAACAAACAACCTAAATGCAAGCCCAAAAGAACCTGAAAGTTACAATTGACACCATAACATGATATTCACTGTAGCCACAAATTCGAGAGTACAAAATACTAGGAAGCTCTCTGTTAGGCTTGATCCGAAGACTCGATTTTATATCTAAGAGTCACATCATTTAACTTTGTTCTACATAATGATTCAGGTTCCTAATCTCTACTGTGTATAGATTGCTAAGAGATTTGGAGGGAGATACCAAGCACCATTGGTAAACTGACCCTTCAACAAGATTTACAAAAATAAATGTTAGTTGTTGTATTGAGCGTAAAATGCAAACCAGTAAATCTTAGATCTATTCAAAACCCAATCTGATAGTCATGATTAAATCAGCAATCATCCGAGAAACAGAACCATATTCACACGCAAATATAATTTACATATTAGAACAAAGCGTGCTGAAATATATCAAGCACTCACCACTCTGTAAGAGTATCCTCACTACTAAGCCCGGAAAACTCGGAATGCTAAAGGTATCGTGATTGTAAACTGCCTAAAAACGATGTTGTTCAGTCACGTACTGCACCAGATCACCGTGAGGTACGACATGCGACGCATCTCCTTGCATCAATTAGCAAGCTTAGTTCACTCATTCCTCGACACTCAAATGATCATTTAAATAAACCTTCTATCCTCCTGAATCCTGAATTCTGTTTTGACTTGACTTCATGATGGGTGCTACGTACGAAAGTGCTAACCAACTCTGAATTTCCGTGACACTGTCAGGTGTTTATACTTGATCCCTATCAAAATCTGTAACGAGTTGGCCTAATCCTCTGGTTTTAGAAGGAACTTAAAAAAGCTTGTCAGTCTAAGTATATCCATGAATTGAATAGTTCTCCAAGTTTTCGACATCGGTGCACATCCCTCATAACAACTAGTCAGCTCGGACCACAAATCGACTCATCTATCATCTTCAAACAACTTTATTTCTCAATTCTGGTTTGACGGGACTTGGATTATTTAGTTATAAAGTTGATAAGGACAAAAGCGTCTTCAAACAACGAATGTCCACGTTGTATTTAAGCAATTGCTTCCTATAACGTGGAACGATATCCTGCCATCGAAATCCGAAGTTTAAGGAATGTGTCTGCGAAAATAACAGTGGTATAAGTTAGGATTGGAAATGAGACATTTAACAGGAACTAGGTTCTAATATTCAGGATCTCCTACTAAATAAAACGAATCATGCCTGAAAATACTGGTTACGGTAAACGTATTGGACATTCAATTTGTTGAAGATGACAATCTGAAATTGCCTCCGTCCAGATCAACCAATCGAGAAAATCTTTTCACATACATTCGCATGAACGTTTGTGATAAACCAGAAGGAGATTTTTAAATGAGGATTAAACGTGTTAAAAATTACAGGCGGACTATTGACGTCTACGATGCCCATTTTGGACTCAATACAAATCCACTTGAAATATTGGTTGACAGTACTTTTGCACGACAAGCCTTAGTACAACAACTTCACATTGAGCAACAATTTAAGTGTACTCTTTCATGTGAATTTTCTCTGGTTACGACATCATGTATTATTTCGGAATGCGAAAAGCTGGGTTCATTGTTTTCCGGAACACTGCAAATCATTCAAAAATACAAGGTTCTGAAGTGTACACACAAATTAGATAAAAATGCATCTGCCTTTTCATGTATTAAAAAGCGAATCCGTACTGCCGGGTCAAAAAAGTGCTCTGCAACAAAGTCTGGAAAGCGTAGCTTATTGTTTGGCTTAGCCTCTAATGATGAGTCGCTGCAGCAATACGCCCGAGCAGTCCCTGGAATGCCAATATTCTTCGTCGCTCATAAACGAATCAATATGGAATCCATTCCTGTCACAGTTTCATTGCTGCTTCAACAGAAAGCTACACAAGCACGTGACTTAACACTTTCAGAGGTGAGTTTTATTAAAAGCTGTAGGTATGTTCCAGCTTCATTTTCTGATGCTGGAAATAGGAAGGACACTGATATATATAAATTTCGGTATATGAGTAGTGTGTCTGAGTTATTCAGTATATCTCTTATATACTAGAGTGCAACTGTTGTGTTTTGTATCACTACCACAAACTAACTGCCTATTTGTCTGCCGATCTTTAATATGAACTTACAATAGTACTACAATACTCCGGTCGCTAAAAATTACTTGAATAGGAACTCTCAGACTGATAGTAAAACACCTTTTAATGGAATGAACTGCTTAGCCAATGTTTATCTGGTGATACCATGTAAGTATGGAAATATTCTCACTAAATTTGACGCAAAGGTTGTAGATAATTTGCCCGCTTATTACACAAAATTACTAAGGTAGACTTAAGTATATAAACATTATGCCACCTTTATTCCTACTGTTCTTTGCTCTGTGAATCAAATCTCTTGATATCTTCCTTAAAGTGTTCGAAGGTAAGTTTTTTAGGTCAACCTTTCGTTAAATATATAGTTAATAGACACCAAATGTAGGGGTTCATTGCAAAAAAATTTCAGTGTTTGTCAGTATACACTACTGTTTATTTAATACTGTTGGCATATCAGGGATTAAATTTTCTCTGGAACCAGTCACCATAAAACCTAGGTGTACAGTCATTATAACTGGATTGAATAAAATTATTAGGAATATTCACCCATAAGCATTTTTATGCAAAAACAGAACCCTTTGGTATGCTTACATGATGTTCACAGTGGATTGATAATCAATACTAGTTAGTCAGTCAGTCATCTGCAACGTAGAACCTCGTACGTATGTACGTCGGTTCATGTCGCTATACTACATCAGCACAGAGATATAATTGTCAATTCAAATCCAATAGTAGAAGTGGTTGTAAAAGTATTAGAAGTAATCGGAGAGGTTAGGATTAGAAGATATTATTCAAGAAGTATGATTCAATGAGAAAAGTTTAGAAAGTCAAAACTAGAGGTGTTGAAGAATCCAGAAGATTAGGATTTGAGAGAACACAAAGAATAAACGCACCGGCGCCGCTGCGAACGATTTTGAGCCATGTCATTCAAGGTCTCTAACCATCGATTATTATCATCTCGCGGACCCCAACCAGGTAGTCGACAATTACCGACATGGCTAAGTCCACTAGTCAATGACTTCATGGATTTCTGCCATGTTTTGGTTTGGCCGCCCCTAACTTTCTTCCAACCTACTCCTACACTACAAAACAAAGCTCGTCGAGGCAGTCGGTGGTTAGGTATACGCAACACATGTCCCAACCACCTCAACTGATGAAGTTTCATTACTTCATCTATTGATCTGCCATTCTTACCTAGCACCCGTTTCCTAATAACAGCGTTGCTCACTCGGATGTCCCACGGTATACGAGCAATGCTTCGAAGACACCTATGATCGAAAACCAGTAACCTACGAATATCTTCTACTCTCACTGGCCATGTTTCACAGCTATAAAGTAAGACGGAGCAAACTACTGCGCAGTACACTCGTCCTTTAGTCAGCAAACGGATATCTCGCCTTCGCCATAAGTGATGCAGGTTGGCAAAAGCCAATCGAGCCTTCTGTATCCGAGCTGAGATTTCGTCAGTCACCAGGCCATCAGCACTGATGAGACTCCCAAGATAAGTGAAGTGATCTACACGTTCGACTACTTCACTCTCTATCACTACTTCATGTGCCGATGCAACCCAGTCTTGAAGCAACATTTTGCATTTCGAGGGGGAAAACCGCATCCCGAACATGCTTTCATTGTTGCTTAGGGTGATCACAAGACTGCATTTTGTCAGCGTCTTCACCAAGTAGGACAATGTCATCGGCATATTCTAAGTCAAGCGAGCCACCCGGTAAAAGGTCTACTTCTGAATATTCAGACGAGGATAAGGTTATTTCTAGGAGCATGTCTATGATAAAATTAAACAAGAATGGAGAAAGTGGACATCCCTGACGAACACCACTTGAAGTGAGGATTTCCGATGACAGTTCGCCATAAGCTCTCACTCGACCAATGGTGTTCGAGTAGAGAGCTTGTATAAGGTTAATGTACTTCTTTGGTACACCTTTCAATGACAGACACTGCCACAGAACCTCACAGTCGACAGAATCAAATGCCGCCTTAAAGTTCAGGAAAACAACTATTGTAGGACGCCTAAATGTGTGTGTGTTCCAGGACCTGTCGTAGTGTGGAAATGTGGTCTAGACAATCACGTCCAGGTCGAAAACCAGCCTGGTTTTCTCGAGCTTTCGTTGAGCGTCGAAGTATTATTGAGGCCAATATTTTAGATACTATATTACTTACTTACTTACTTACGCCTGTTACCCCCAATGGAGCATAGGCCGCCCACCAGTTTTCTCCAACCAACTCTGTCCTGGGCTTCTCTCTCCAGTTCTGTCCAATGTTTGTTCATTCCTCTCATATCTTTGTCTGTTTCTCGGCGTAAGGTATTCTTTGGCCTTCCTCTTTTCCTTTTGCCTTGAGGGTTCCATGTGAGGGCTTGTCTCGTGACACAGGTGCTTTCCGCAATGTGTGTCCTATCCACTTCCATCGCTTCTTCCTGATTTCCTCATCCACTGGAATCTGGTTCGATCTCTCCCACAGTTCGTTGTTGCTGATGGTATCTGGCCAACGAATACGAAGTATTTTGCGTAGACAACTGTTAATAAATACTTGTATCTTGTGGATGATGGCTTTCGTAGTTCTCCATGTTTCCGCTCCATACAGTAGAACTGTCTTCACATTTGTATTGAAAATCCTTATTTTGGTTTTGGTTGAAAGTTGTTTGGAGTTCCAGATATTTTTCAACTGTAGAAATGCAGCCCTTGCTTTGCCAATCCGTGCCCTCACATCTGCATCGGGTCCACCATGGTTGTCGATGATGCTGCCAAGATATGTAAAGGTGTTGACATCCTCCAAGGCATCTCCATCAAGAGTGATTTGGTTGCTGCATGTTGTGTTGCATCGGAGAATTTTGCTTTTCCCTTTATGTATGTTGAGACCCACTGCTGCAGAGGCTGCTGCTACACTGGTCGTCTTCTCATGCATTTGTTGTTGAGTGTGCGATAGAAGAGCCAAGTTATCTGCGAAGTCCAGGTCGTCCAGCTGCGTCCTAACTGTCCAGTTGATACCGTGCTTCCCTCCAGACGTCGACGTTTTCATAATCCAGTCGATGACCAGGAGAAAGAGAAAGGGTGAGAGTAAGCAACCTTGCCTCACACCGGTCTTCACCTCAAAAGAGTCTGTTAGCTGTCCTTCGTGTACGATTTTGCAGTTGAATTCATCATAAGAATCCCGTATGATGTTAACTATCTTCTCAGGCACACCGTAGTGTCGAAGAAGCCTCCACAGTGTTTTCCTATCCACGCTATCGAATGCCTTCTCGTAGTCGATGAAGTTGATGTAGAGTGGTGAGTTCCATTCAATTGATTGTTCCACAATGATCCGTAATGTAGCAATTTGGTCAGTACACGATCGATCCTTACGAAATCCGGCCTGTTGATCTCGAAGTTGGGCGTCTACGAAGTCCTTCATTCTGTTTAACTATATTCTGTTGAAGACTTTGCCTGGTTTTGAAAGAAGAGTGATGCCTGTGTAGTTCTCACTTGCTGAGATCGCCTTTCTTTGGTATTTTGATGAGGTATCCTTCTTTCCAATCTGATGGTACTTGTTCCTCATCCCACATCTTCTTGAAGAGGATGTAAAATATTTTCGCAGTTGCTCCTACATCTGCTTTCATTGCCTCTGCTGGAATGTTGTCTGGTCCTGCTGCTTTGCCGCTCTTGATTTGTCTGATGGCCATACTGATCTCCTCGATTGTAGGTGCGCCAATATTAATTGGGAGGTCCGTGGATGCTGCTTCGATGTTGGGTGTGTTCAGTGGAGCTGGTCGATTCAATAGTTCCTTAAAGTGCTCTACCCACCTATTTCGCTGTTGTTCAGTGTTGCTGATTACTTTGCCTTCCTTACTTTTCACTGGTCGTTCTGGTTTACGATAGTTCCCGGCGAGCTTCCTTCTTGTTTCGTACAATTGTCTCAAGTTTCCTTCTCTTGCAGCCTTTTCCGCTGTCGTTGCTAGATCTTCCACATATTTTCGTTTGTCAGCTCTGATGCTCTTCTTCACTTCCCTGTTTGCTTTTGTGTATGCAGCTTGTGCGGTAACTTTCTCCGCTCTTGTTCGGCTGACATTGATTACTGCCTTCTTGTTCCTCCTTTCTTCAATTTTTGCGAGAGTATCAATAGAGATCCATTCCTTGTGATGGTACTTCTTGTGACCCAGAACTTCGTGACATGTTGAAGTGATTGCCTCCTTAATCCCTTTCCAATCGTTCTCCAACGTTGTGTCCTCTCCATTGTGTAGATCCTGAAAGGCCTGGAACCTATTGGTGAGGGCTATCCTGAATTCATTGAGCTTTACAGTATCCCGAAGAAATGCCGTATTAAACTTGTGCGATGTTGTCTGCCCCGTTGTCCAGTGCTTCTTGAGTTTCAGTTTCATTTTGGCGATTAGCAAATGGTGATCTGAGGCTATATCAGCTCCTCTCTTGGTTCTCACATCCTCCATGGTCCTTCTGAACGTTTTGTTGATACAGATATGATCAATCTGGTTTTGGGTAGTGTGATCCGGTGAAATCCATGTAGCTTTGTGTATGCGCTTGTGTGGGAATATTGTGCCACCGATGACCAGTTTGTTGAAGGCACATAGGTTCGCAAATCTCTCACCATTTTCGTTCCTTTCTCCCAGTCCATGTCGTCCCATGATGTCTTCATATCCAGTGTTGTCCATTCCAACCTTGGCATTCAGGTCTCCCATAAGAATCGTCAAATCCTTTGGTGAACATTTATCGACGATTGACTGCAGCCTTTCGTAGAATTGATCTTTAACGTCGTCATTGTAGTCATTGGTAGGTGCATAACATTGGATGACGTTCATTGTAATGTCCTCTTTCTTCGTTTTGAAGGATGCTTTAATGATCCTGGGTCCATGAGATTCCCATCCCATTAGTGCCTTTTGTGCATGTTTGGACAGCATCAGTGCAACTCCTTGTGTATGTGAAGCGTTTTCCTCTTCATGACCAGAGTATAACAGCAGTTCCCCTGAAGCTAGTCTCAGTTGTCCTACTTGTGTCCAATGCGTTTCACTGATGCCGAGCACCTCGAGGTTGTATCGTTTCATTTCTGCCGCAACTTGAAATAGTCTTCCAGTCTCCCACAATGTACGAACGTTCCATGTACCTAAAAAAATGGTTGCTCTGGTTGTCAGAAGAGGCATCAGCCCCGTGACTTCCGAGGGAACTCGGCTTTCATCACGCGACGTCATAATTCTTCCTCCAACTCCCAGGGCAGAGTTAAAATGGTTTGAATTATTTTTTCTGGTTAGCGTTTTTTTGGCAAGTTAGTTTTTGACGGAATGGGGTCGCCAACCCCATGTCCAACCCTCCTCCTTTACCCGGGCTTGGGACCGGCAGTAGCCCCGAAGGTTCTACTGGCGAAGTTAGATACTATATTAGTTAGACTTATTCCCCTGTGATTGTCACAAGAAGACCTTTGTCCTTTCTTGTAGATTGGGACAATCAGTGATTGAGACCAGTCAGATGGGATTACGTCCAGTTCCCAGATTCTACCTAGGATCTCGGTCAGTCTAACTGTTAAAACTGGACCACCATCCTTAAACATCTCAGGGGTCAGTCTATCAGGACCTACAGCTCGCCCTCGCTTCAGATTTCCTAACGCTTTCTCAACTTCATTAGGACTAGGGGGACTTACGTCGATTTGCTATTCAGGATGACTGGAGATCGTGGGTAACCGAAGAGTTGCTCTAGGCCATTTGAACTGATCCCTAAAGTGTTCTGCCCATCGATCCAGTCTCCTGGATTGAGAATAAATAATAGTCCCATCCTTTCCGAGACAGTCTCACTTACACTAGGATTCCTAATACCGGTTTCCTTGATAAGTCGGAAAAGTTGTCTAGTGTTGCCTATCGCCGCTGCCTTTTCCATCGCTTTTGCTTTCGCTACCCACCACTGTTCATGGTCGTTGCGCAGGCCTCGATTATACATAGACGTCTAACTAGAGCTCGTGAAGTGCAGACTCGAGAAAACCAGTCTGGTTTTCGATCTGGACGTGGTTGTATAGACCACATCTTCACACTACGACAAGTCCTGGAACACACACACATTTAGGCGTCCTACAATAGTTGTTTTCCTGAACTTTAAGGCGGCATTTGATTCTGTCGACTGTGAGGTTCTGTGGCAGTGTCTGTCATTGAAAGGTGTACCAAAGAAGTACATTAACCTTATACAAGCTCTCTACTCGAACACCATTGGTCGAGTGAGTGCCTATGGCGAACTGTCGCCGGAATTCTCTACATCAAGTGGTGTCCGTCAGGGCTGTCCACTCTCTCCATTCTTGTTTAATTTTGTCGTAGACATCCTCTTAGAGTTAACATTAAGCTCGTTAGATTTTTCAGGGGTTGACCTTCTACCAGGAAAATCGCTTACTGACCTAGAATATGCCGACGATGTAGTTCTATTTGGTGAAGACGCTGACAAAATGCAGTCTTGTGATCACCCTAAGCAACAATGAAAGCATGTTCGGGATGTGGTTTTCCCATTCGAAATGCAAAACGTTGCATCGGCACCTGGACTAGTGATAGGGAGTGAAGTAGTCGAGCGTGTTGACTGCTTCACTTATCTTGGGAGTCTCATCAGCGCTGATAGCCTGGTGACTGACGAAATCTGAGTACGGGTACCGAAGGCTCGATTGGCTTTTGCCAACCTGCGTTACTTATGGTGCAGGCGAGATATCCGTTTGCTAACCAGAGGACGAGTGTACTGTGCAGCAGTTCGCTACGTCCTACTATACGGATGCGAGACTTGGCCGTTAAGAGTAGAGGACTTTCGTACGTTACTAGTCTTTGATCACGGATGTCTCCGAAGCATTGCTCGTGTATCATGGGACAACCGTATAAGCAATGCTGTCGTTAGGAAACGAGTACTAGGTAAGAATGGCAGATCAATAGATGAAGTAGCGGAACTTCATCAGTTGAGGTGGTTGGGACATGTGTTACGAATGCCCAACCACTGACTGCCTCGTCGAGCTAGGTTTTGTGGTGTAGGAGTAAGTTGGAAGAAAGTTAGGGGCGACCAGTCTAAAGCATGGCACAAATCCATGAAAAGTCACTGACAAGTGGACTGAGTCATGTTGGTAGATGTACGTTTTCTGGTTGGGGTCCGCGAGACGAAAGTCACCGATGGTTAGAGACCTTGAATGGCATGGCTCAAAATCGTTTGCAATGGCGCAGGTGCATCCACTCTTTGTGTGCTTTTTAATTCTAACCTGAATTCCTCATAATATCTATCTTTCTCCTTCTACATTTATCTCACTGAATTTTACTTCTCGAATGATATCTTCGAACCCTAATCTTCTCCATTACTGCTAATAATTCTACTATCGCTATCACTCTTGGATTTGAACTGACAATTACGTCTCTGTACTGACGTGGTATGGCAACCTGAACTGATGTACTTATGTACGAGGTTGTGCGTTGTATCTGTCTGTCTGTCTTTAGCAGGTAGATTGACTGGGATCTTAGGTAGAATCTGGGAACTGGACGTAATCCCATCCGACTGGTCTCCATCGCTGACTGTCCCAATTTATAAGAAAGAACAAAAGTTCTCTTGTGACAATCACAGGAGAATCATTCGAACTAATATATTGGCCTCATTAATACTCGGACGTCTAACCAGAGCTCGTGAAGAGCAGACTAGAGAAAACCAGGCTGGTTTTCGACCTGGAGGTGGACGTATAGACCAGATATTCACACTACGTCAGGTCCTAGAACAATGACACACGTTCAGACGCCCAACCACTTTGCCGTAGACATGCTTTTAGAGTTCACTTTATCATTGTCTGACTCTCCAGGAGTGAACCTTTTACCAGGAGACACGCTTGCTGACTTGGAGTATGCTCGTGACATTGTTTTATTCGGTGAAGGCGCTGACAAAATGTAGTCTCCTGATCACCTTCATCAACAATACAAGCATGTTCGGGATGCGGTTTTCACCCTTGAGGCGGTTGGGACATGTACGTATGTCCAACCATCTGCTGCCTCGACGAGCGATGTCTTTGTGAGGTAGCGGTAAGATGGAAGAAAGCTAGAGCCCGGCATATTAAGTCATGTCACAAATCCATTAATTCACTGGCAAGTGGACTGAGCAGTGTTAATAGGTGTAGACTACCTAGTTGAGGTCTGCGAGACATCAGTAACATATTGTTAGAGACCTTGAACGACATGGCTCAAAATCGTTTGCTATGGTGCAGATGCATCTAGTCTTTTTCTTGTCTTAAATCCTAACCTGAATTCCCCATGACCTCTTTTTGAATTTATTTTACTGTAATATACTTTTCGAATCATACCTTCGACCCTTAATCTTTTCGAATACCACTAATACTGCTACAACATCTACCACCATGGGACTGGGATTGAGAATTCCATTTCTTCGTACTAATGTGCTACGGCAAATTGAACTGATATGCGTACGCACCAAATCCTACGTTGCAGCTGACTGACCGAGTCTATGATTAATGACCAAAAAATACTTTAAACTTCGTTATCAAACAGCGCAATTTATCGCAAATCAGCTTTTCCGAAGTATGCATTGACATTGTTGTACAGCTTGCAATTTTCTGTTTTTATTTTTATTGTCAGTGTAGTAAAATCAAACAATTTGGTGACATTTTTGGCTTTTCTGAGGAGAGTTATACGCGTAGGAAGAAGATTAAAGGACCCAACCCACTATCATGTAAGCACAAATCAAACCGACCCCATACCATAAAAACGACGACAGCTAAACGAAAGCGAAAACGCATCAAAATGACATGGGCAATGAAACAAGTTGTCGAACGTTTGAAAGCAGAACTCGTTTCCTAAGACCAATTTATAAATATGTAAAATACCTATTCAGCGTCCTGTTTGTGATGTATTTTTTTACCTTTTGATTATAATAAAACCGTTTGACACTTAGCTTCCTCACTACTGGTGAAAAACGGTGTTCGTATTGGCAACCAACCCCATTGCTACACCATAATATAGTACATTATCATACGAAGTTTATTTCGGACAAAATCTTTTGAAATGACTATACAATATTGTACAATTTAGATACATTATATTCACAAGTATATGTACATAAAGGGGAAAGGAATCGATTTCTTTTCTTAGTTAAAGATCATGTGTTTTTGGGATGCGTCAAGTTGGAAACTACACGCTGCAACCTAATAACCTGTGCATTAGGATTAGATATGTGATTAGGGATGAGTCGTATGGTGTTGCCAAACCGAACAGTATTAGTTGGCATAGATAGCGCTGGAACAGACTGAGAAGTATGTGGACGAGTCACATCGTTGTTGATATGATTTATTTCTGGGGAGACCAGCCGTATGATGGGACTCGTCTTGTTAGCGTCACAATTAATCATTCTTATCACGGGAATGCTCGTTCCACACCTAATGCCATTAGCTGAAAATCGGGGAGGTTGGGCGAACTGCTTTACAGAGGTTGCTGTATCCTGTAGTCCAGAATCAGGAGACACATTTCTTGCATTTACAGTTTTAGTGGCTGGTTTCACAGTTAACGTGCCATCAGCTGGAGGACTACTCAGAACTGCTGGTCTACTAGTTATTGAGGATTCGATCGGCAGTTGCGGTTGTTGAATTTGACTAGACTCTGAAGGTGTATATGTTCGAGAAATAATCCCCGGTGGTTTTTGTAATCGATAAACCATGCGCGTAAACTGTGGTGGTGGGACAACAGGATGCGTGAAGCGTTGTTGATAAATTTCACCTGCAAGAAAAATACAACGTTAACTGACAAATTTTTTAAAATGGTTATTAAAGCAAGTACAGACACCAGTTATAAAACCTGGAGGATCAGCGATCGACGCTAATCTTATGAAATTAGGCCTCTGAAATAAAATTCTTTCATTTATTTTAACATGAAAAACTGACGAATGTTTGTAGAAAGTAGTGGCTCCGAAGAGAACTAGTATGACTTAGTTTGAACTATGGAGTTAGAGGCATCCTAAAATACGTATGTAAATCGGATTTATTCTATAATCTATCACATAACTTATGAAATTGTTATAAAAACAATGATTAACCTTGAAAACAAAGTGGACATGGGTAACTTACCCGTAGGCGTCTTCATTTGACGGGTAATTACGAACACAGGTTGACCGGTTGATACCAGTACTTGTCTTGCTGTTAGATTCAAATGACTTCCGTCGGGAATAGACTGAACGGGAATCATAGGCTCAGGAGGATGTTGAACTAACGGGGTTGTTGGGCTTAGAAAACGAAACGGTATATCAGGTGATTTTTGGTACCTGTTTTGCGAATGTATAACAGAAGTAGTGGTGGTTGGTGGTCCAACATATTTCGGACTACAGGGTATACCAGCAGTACTGAGTCTTTCTGAAGCCTAAATGAAACATAAGAATATCAAAAAACAGACGAAAAAGTTTATACAACAGAGGAAACGTACAGTATTAAACAAGGGATAATATCTTGATAGGCACTAGTCGTGCTGTTTATCAAATTTGTTGTACTTAAAACATCAAGTCCTTTGAACATAGGTGAAGACGAAACACCAATTGATCTAAGTACAGCACACAGACGGATGATCAGTAATAATTTGATAGTGAATACACTAGAGTTTAAGTCCTTAGGAAATATGCAATTTGTAGTAAAAGATCTATAGCTGAAGTATATAACTACAAAAACGTTAAGTGTTTGAGACATACGGTTGTCAACACGCTGTTCTCAGAGCACAAGTATCCTAGAAGCAATGGTATCACAGACTATCAATAACAAAGTTGGTCTAAAATAAGCTGGTTAAAAATGATATTTAAGTAAATATGAAAGTTGCACTTACAGCAACATTATTGTGAAAACCAGGTGTCCGTTCGGATTTTAGTTTAGTTGAACTTCCTACAGAAACTTCAAATGCGTCTGAGAAATTGTTATGGGACTGCTGATTGAAAGATAACTCGGGTAAATTGCTAGCTTCAACAATTTCCTCATGTGATACATTTTCAAGATCGTAGTGGTTGGAAGAAATCACAGAATTTGGAGTATCGAATCGAAACACTTTATCTGGAAGATGATATTCTACATTTCGTCTGTCTGTTCTTTTCTGAGTTTGAATAGATGATTTAGTGTATTGAGAATGTAATTGATCCCAGTGGTCGAAATGATGAATTTCTTCTGGTCCTTCATAGTTTACATTTTCTTCAGAGAGTTTTGGAACCAGACACGAACGAGACGATAAATAATTTTTCCCGAGTTTACTGGAAGATATTATTTTCTTCTGTGAAAATGCACCAGTTTTAGCTTGAGGATGATTACTACGTATATGAAAATTATTATTTCGAAGAATATCAGATTTATGAAATCTTTTGTTATGGACCATCGGTGGAAAATGCGTTTTCTCCTCAAACGCCTCAATCCCACTTTTATTACTTTCAGTAATATCAATTTGTGTTAACTGATCCGTAGATTTGTTTCTCTTAGTAATATCTTGATTGATCTCTATTTCGTCTTTTTCATTGTCACAAACAAATGTGATCTAAAAATTAATGGGATTTTAAGCACTCAGATTTTAGTCGAAACAAGTTATATTTTATTTCTAAAACCCTAATCCCTAAGGCAATTAGAAGGAACAATAAATTCTTACAAGATCGATTGATATAATGGGCAAAATTGAAACTGTGTTGTGACATAGCTCCTGCTACACTAATTAAATGAGTTTTTTTCCAAAAGAAAACACCTATTATTCTACCTGTGGTTCCATCTTATATTTTCTATACAACTGAATTTGAAGAAGTTCCATTGAGTAATTAACAGCTTGTTCATGCAGTCATTTTTTATTAATCGTCAAAGTACATAATTAGGGCAGTAACGTTTTGTAATATCGATACACCTCAATGTGTTTTCGTTACCCACAAAGACATACTCAGAATAGCTAATAGTATCTATTACTACGTGAAAATTATCTACAAAAAAGCATTATATTTAGTACCAAACTAAAATCGATTGTAATATAAATAATAATGTGAAAACAAACTTACATCTATTGGCTTCTTTGGTTTATCCAACTTCAGTCGTTTACTCAACTTGCCAACACCAGCAGACTTTGTCGACTTGTTTGTCCGTGAGACGTCTGGACTTACAACCTGGGGAGCTTGCACTTTATGTCCAGTTGATGATGAACCATACGGTCGCTTTCTCGAGTATTTAAACCGCCCACTTGAAAATATCTGTCCAGTATCCAAAAGGTTAATCGATGCATCTGCATCATTAGTTTCCTCCGCTCGGATTCGTTCTAAACGTTCCAATTCAGCTAATTGGCTGGAGAGATCATATTTACCGCAACAGTAAAACATGTCATCATCTTCCAAATCCGCTCGCTGTTCGTCTGCCTCGTGTAAAGCTTTCAGTTTTTCAAGATGCCATACCTTCTCAGACTCCATCAATTCTGCCTAAAATCAGAATGGAGAAAAAAATGATCGAGCTGTGTGAATTGAAAGTGACAAAGTTTTTAAACAACATCATGATTAACACATAAACGACAGATTTTGAAAACGTTTCACTGAATTTATACACGAATCTTACTCTTATTTTCTTAGAAACGACAAATCAATGTTAATATTTCAGATGCTCACATCAGAACACAACAATAGAATTTCTTAAAAAGAATTTTCAATTACTCCTAACAATGCAATTAATGTCACATAGATAGGATGTTTGAAAAAATATCTTAGAAATACTTCTTAACTACTTTTCAACCAGATTAACAACCTATTCCTTGTATCAAAATATTCGCTGTATTAACTGAAAAAAAGTAGAACGAGTACGATAAGTAGTTTGTTTCTAATTAAAATGAGTGGACTATATGTTACAATAAAAACATTACATAAATCTTAACATGCAGAAATACAGTTAAAACCAAGATAAACACAGTCACACTCATACAGTGATGAACGACTAATCTAAAGAAACAACAGTCTGTTGATACACGGTTGAATGTATCTGAAAAAGCAACAAAAACCTACATCAGCCATATCTAACTGTTCATTCAACATATGTTCTCTCTGTTCTTCAACTTGCCGAACTCCGAATCGCTCAACAGGTTTTAATTGAGATTCGAAGCCAAGTAACTCACGTTCCACAATTTGCTCGATCGTTTCTGTCGTATCTTTGGTATTCTGTGGTGTAGTATTGTCTTCGTCAGATTGCTGAAGACAATTTCGAAGATACGAAAGTGGTTCTATTTCTTTTACACAAGGAATATTCGAATCATTGTTATCACCTGCATTGATAGCATCATTGTTGTCCTCATTATTAGGTGACTTTTCTTCGAATTCTGCCAAGTCTGCCTGTTTAATTCAAAAAAGTTATTAACTTGAAATCAATTAATTGATAGTGAAGTACAAAGAATACTAAAGTGAACTGTTGGTTTTAGTAATCTTTTCATCATATTTCATAGTTGTTAATCCATGACTATCGTATTACAATAAACTAAATACAAAAGTTGAGTTGACAACCAGAACCATTTTACGGTGTCGGCAGCCGGGAAGTTACATCTGCCTTCATACTCATAAAAGCACACGAGACCAAATTGGTCACAATCAAATCCTTTCTACACCTCCTAATAACTCTCTTATCTCATCGACCAACTCTTCCTTCGACCGTTTATCACCTCGCGCCACTGAAGCAAACTGTTTGAGCCTACGAAACGTTATTCTTGGTCTCTTGAAACACCCGTACGAAATTACAAATTGGAGCATCTAATGTTCGAACCCTATGCCAAATAGTGCAACAGGCTCTATTAGCTAGAATTCTGGAATCCCAGGCGATCGATGTATGTTGTGTCTTCGAATTGCGCATACAGGATCCTAGTAAAATCCTAGTAAAATTCGATTTCACCTAGAGCAGATAGATACACAACACGGTTTACACTAAGTGTTCCAGGTAGCCCTGATGCCGCCTCCCGTGGCCTCACCGGCGTAGATATTGTATTAGGTCCTACGGCAGAACTATCTCTTCGAGACTGGATCACGATAGACAGTCGCTTATGCACCGTCCGACTGAAGGAAAGGGACACTCGCCGTTGCCTCTCCGTCGTATCTGCCTACGCTACCACTGACTGCAGTTCAGACGATGTAAAAGATGAGTTTTACAGAAAGCTTTCGGACTTCCTCCAAAAAGTTAGGCGCTCTGGCGTATTAATAATAGCTGGTGACTTCTAAACTCAAGTAGGTAGACTCGTTTAGGTAATGATGTAAATTTATATTTATGGTGAACATTAAAACCCAATCACTTGTTTTGGTTTCAACTGGGCAAGGAGCGTATCTAAACAACATAGACAGTTATTCCTCAATCCAAACCTCAGTTTCGATCCTACACTGAGGCAGATAGGATGATATCAAAAAGCTGTACAAACGGCAACGATATCTGCTAGTAAGGTAAACCATAAGGTAAGGGAGAAGCCGTGGATTTCAGAAGCATCCACCGAACTGATGGATGCTCGAAAGCTCATCCAGCTTGGCTCTGAGTACGACGAGGAGTGCAGTCAGCTTAAGCACAAGTTGATAAAAAAACATACGCAATGATCGCGAACAGTGGTGGGTAGCGAAAGCGAGAGCAATGGAAAAGGCAGCGGAGATAGGCAACAGTAGACAACTATTCAGACTCATCAAGGAAACCGGTATAAGGAACACGAATGTGAGTATTTCGGAAAAGGATGTTTCTATCATTCATTATCAATCCAGGATCGATGAGCAGAACAATTCAGGGATCAATTCAACAGGCCTTCAACCACACTTCGATTGCCCACGATCTCCAGTCATCCTGAGTGGGAAACCGACATAAGTCCTCCGACTCTTTGTAAAGTTTAGAAAGCGTTAGGAAATCTGAAGCGAGGGAGGGCAGCGGGTCTTGATACATTTACCCCTGAAATTTTTAAAAAACGGTGGTCTAGTTTTAGCAGCTAGGTTGACTGAGATCGTAGGTAGAATCTGGGAACTGGACGTAATCCCATCTGACTGGTCTCAGTCGCTAATTGTCCCAATCTACAAGAAAGGACAAAAGTCCTCTTGTGACAATCACAGGGGAATTAGTCTAACTAATATAGTTTCTAAATTGTTAGCCTCGATTATACTTAGACGTCTAACTAGAGCTCGTGAAGAGCAGACTTGAGAAAACCAGTCTGGTTTTTGACCTGGACGTGGTTGTATAGACCACATTTTCACACTACGACAGGTCCTGGAACACAGACACATATAGACGTCTGAAAATAGTTGTCTTCCTGGACATTAAGGCGGCATTTGATTCTGTCGACTGTGAGGTTCTGTGGCAGTGTCTGTCATTGAAAGGTGTACCAAAGAAGTACATTAACCTTATACAAACACTACTGGTCGTGTGAGAGCATATGGCGAACTGTCATCTGAATTCTCTACATCAAGTGGTGTCCGCCAGGGATGTCCACTCTCTACATTATTGTTTAACGTTTTCGTAGACATGGTTTTAAAGTTAACTTTTTCTGACGGTTCTGGAGTGGACTTTCAACCAGGAGGCTTGCTTATTATCTTAGAATATGCCAATAACATATTCCTATTCGGTGAAGACGTTGACAAAATGCAGAGTCTTCTGACTACCATAAGCAACAATGCAAGCATATTCGGGATGCGATTCTAACCCTCGAAATGCAAAATGTTGTTTCAGGATTAAATTGCGACGGCACCTGAACTGGTGATAGGGAGTGAAGTAGTTGAGCATGTTGACTCCACACTTCATATTTTTCTTTTTAAGTTTATTTTACTAGATTCTACTTCTTGAATAATACCTTCGAACTCTAACCTCTCCGATTACTGCTAATACCTTTACTACCTCTACTACTATGAGATTTGAAATGACAGTTACAATTCTGTGCTTATGTGTTATGGCAACACGAACTGATGTACGTACGTACGTACGAAGTTCCACGTCGCTGTTGACTGACTGATTGATAATCTATATTATTAAATAAAACTGGAGAATTTCACGTCAACTGAATCATGAGGAAGGAAGTATTTTTTGGTAATGCTAAGAATAGTCATGTAAGCCATGAATCGCTACAAGTGAGATAAAAACTCCATACCAAAGACTTGATTTCGAAAGTGATAGAATAAGTAAAATCCTAACACGTCGACTAAGCAGATTCATGTAAACTTTATCTTGCTAAATAACTTTTCAACGAAATCAATATTGAGACAGAAAATTCAGGATAAGATACCAATGACCAGTTTATCTGTGTTAATAAATTTAATTTTTATTGTTAGATTATGTATATTGACTATATTTACAGATCCTTATCTCTACACGCCCATGAACACGTACTGGCATGGATAGGTAGAGGCGTGATGAAATATGTTAATATTGTCAGTTTTCAGTCAATGGATAATGAACAAAACATTAGAATTGTAGGTGCTTTCTTAGTTTTATGTCTAATTCGGAGTCATTTAATAAAAGACGAAAGAAAACGATTATTCTAAATAGATGCACCAATGGTTATCAACTCAAAGAAAGCGAACTTATGCATACAAGAAAGATACATTCAAACTCCTTGCTTATCTTGACCTATAATACAATTATTCCATTTTATTAGTTTCCATTTTATTAGTACATACAAACATTACTTACATCCACCTTCAATTTGATTCATAATATGTTCCATAGTATGTTTTTATTATTCCTGATTGAATATTTACCTTTCTTAAATCGGCTTATCATTGTTTTATGGTCATTTTAACAACTACAATGTATTCCCTATTTTGTACAAAAACTTTTTTATACACGATTTTATTTACTCATTAGAACTACAAACCTCAAGAAAAACAATTTCCCTTACCTTTTACGTATGAACTTTCTGAACAAAAACAATAACGCATTTTGTAGTATTTATGAATCGATCGACGTGAAACTCACCACTTTCCAATTATAACGTAGATTATGGATTAATAATTGTAGAACCTCGTAAAGAAGAAACAATTATTCATTCTAATAGTCTTTGTTCCTGAATACTTTATGGGTATTTTTAAACTGCTGAATGATATTAGACATAGTAGTATATAGAAAGATGATTTGTGATATAGGTCAGTAATCAGTTGGCCCAACACTTACATCTAAAAAATAATGAATGGGATTGAACTGAAGCAAACTAGACTTTTTAACAAGTGTTGTGGTGTATGTATTGCATACAGATTTGCAAATAAATGCTCTCATTATTCTAATTCATAAAAGGTTGAGGGATCAAACATTTATAGGGAAAATCACGGCCAATATAAATGTTGGACACTTACTTTTGCTTCATCCAATACACGTCTAGCAGCGATACGATCACTTTCTTCTTCACAAGCATCAAGTAGAGCTTCCAACTGGGCTTCAGAACTCGATGTAAGACCTACAGATTCATTAGCATTGGTATCACATGGGAAAGTAGAAGTTGGCTTTAAAATACAACCAGTAGGATGAACCTGTCGGCCACTACGAGTAATTACAACTGGAGTTTCAGAATTAGGATCCATGCATTTTTTGTCAGGTTGCAAATGTGGAGAAGTATCTGTGAGGGTAGCTGGTTCTTTCATTTTTGTTAAATCCTGAAGTTATACAAAAAATATATTTTAAATATCAACTACGGGATAATTCAAACCACTTTAAATTGAATGATAAGTAAGCTAGGATTTTTTCAAAGAAAACTAAATAATTATCATTCTTCGGTTAGGATTCATCATAAAACAATGGTTGAAAGAACAAGTGCAACAAAATTTAGTAATGTGACCTAGAGTTGTAAAAGAGTGGCAGTAATCCCATCGTAAACTTATAATCTTAGGATCAGAAATTAACTGAAGCAAATTCGGCCGCACTGACTCAGAAACATATATTCTTTCTCTTAAAATTATCTTACACCTTTTATTTCACAAATCCCTTTTTTCATATCATCTTCAGGTAAATTTTTACTACTACTGATACATACAGATGTGGTATGAGAAGTTGGGCAGATTCCCTTATGTGCCAGGTTAAACGTTGCTTATGACTAACAAAGTATTTATCGACTGTCTTTATAAAAGAGTAAAGACGAATACCGATAGAATTACATAAAAATTTTAACCTGATAATGAAAATCTTTCTATAGTTTCTTGTTGTTCAAAAAATAAACCAGAGAAAATAAAACTTTGAAACCACGAATATATGAAAGATTGTAATAGACTGGCAATAGAGATAAAGATCTATTTATGACCTGAAGTCCGGACGGCTCTGCAAATAACTCTGTTATGGTGTTTTGTCTGAAAAAAGCTGTGGTGAATTTGCCACCTTCAATTGCAACGTCACTAAGGAAGCGTTTCTGATTAGCTTTACGTAATATGTTTTCTTCCACTGTTCTTTCACTTATCAAGCGGTAAATATGAACATCACGAGTTTGCCCGATTCGATGGCATCTAAAATTAGAGTGAAATAAACGTTTAATGTACTTACACAACGAGGGAAAATGTATTTTATGTTGTTATCAAAATAATTACTAGATTTGTTCGTGATAGAGAATCCTCCCTATTTCAAATGTTCAAAGATGAAACAGTAAGAAGCATTTATAAACCATGGATGGAAAGACGGTAATTTATCTAAAAATAAACCAGTACAGGTGGAGTGTGATGGATGACCAAGAGATATATTATTTAAAATGAAATTTCTGTTATGTACACTTTACGTAAAGATTGATCAGAATTCGGGATTAGAGAACTGACTTGGTCTTATAATTTAACACCAAAGGTTAGATGCTGAAGGCAATATTGGAAATTAGAGAGGATAAACGCTTTCTAGTATTCTAACATCATTTATAAACAGTATATTAGCTTATAACACTACCAACCAACTGAACACATAAAGAACTCTAGAAAATCCTCTGAAAACAGATTATTAGCGATCATTTCAAATGCTGACTTTATTTTTGATAATAATATGCACTTGATGATGTAGACCTAATGGAAGTTGATCATATGGTAGTGGTCATGACCGAAGTAAAATAAGTGACTAATCATGTTATACCCTAAACAATCACTGCTTCATCCCAATATAACCTTGGTGGGACTAGTCCTGAGTTGTGTAATCGATTGAGAAATATTGTAATCTTTATGTAAATACCAGCGTAGTGTATACAACTCACAACACGGCTTATGAGTAGTATGCAGCGGAGTGTCACCCTGAAATTAATGCTGAAACGAAGTGTCGGATCCGGATATATAGAGTGATCAAAGTGCTTTGAAGACCAGAAGATGTACGGGAGAAGACTGCAACGAAATTCACTTGTTTTGCATACAGAAGTTTGAAGATAAGGTACACACATTTTGCTAGTAAACAGTCTCCTTCAAATCAATCACTGATTTCACCTAATCTTCCTGCCTTCGTTCATCACACTGTTACTGTTTGTTACATGTATCTTCGACTTATCTTTTTTGACCGACTATATTTATTTCATGTCCCTTCTTTGAGTACCATAATTTATGTTTCTGAAACAAATTAGGGTGGATGAGAGGTACAGGATGCAAACGAATAAGATATATAACCACAATAAGTACTGCACAGCTATTCTCCACATATTATCAACTATTATCAACTCATAATAGGAAACGTTTGTGCATTATAAAGCCAATAAAAAGTGAGGATTATCATGTTATCCTCAATGTGATTTATTACAGCCTCTGTAGTAGTAATTTTAAAACTGATTTGGGAAATCAGATTAAAACAAAGACCTTTGGAAAGCATGGTATATAGCTGAAAGTCAAAAAGTGTTTGGAATTTGAAAAAAAAGATATTTGACTACCAGGATACATGCTCGATACAAATACTTACCTATCTTGCGCTTGAGCATCCATGGTAGGATTCCAATCTGAATCATAAAATATAACTGTGTCAGCTCCCGTTAAGTTGATTCCTAGACCACCAGAGCGAGTAGATAGTATAAATACAAAAATCTGACTATCCTGATTAAAACGCTCCATTAAAACTTGACGCTGTTCAACTTTTGTGGTCCCATCCAAACGCAAATAACGATGTCCATGGTAAGCTAAAAACTGTTCTAGAATATCTAACATTCGTGCCATTTGAGTGAAAATAAGCACTCGATGATTGCCTGACTTAAGTTCACGTAACAAACTATTAAGTCGTTGCAGTTTTCCTGTCGAATTATGAAAAACAAATACCATACATATAGAGATTACATAAAAGTGGATGGAGTAAACAAACGACATAAGAAACTAGCAAAACAGATAAATAAATATAGATACTTGTGCTGCATAGTAAATGAAACCGAATCCGCTAATAAAAAAACTATTAATGGATCCTTTATGTTGAAATAGCATTTGAGCGCATTACAAAATTACCGCAATTAGTTTATTCAAATAATTAGATTCAAGCAATTAATTATAACTAATTTATGAAATGAATTTACTCCATGTAAGAGTAGTATACAAACTGAAATGAAATGATGTAATGTGTCCCAAATACACAATAACGAATGATTAGGCTTATTTTGCGAGTACCAGATTATGCAACAACCTACACTTTGGAGCTAAGGCGCTAAACATACTATCCAAGAGCTTAAAATAAATTTAGTAAAAAATTATATGAACAAGTCGTTTTTAGAAGTAACTTTGCTACGAAGCCTAGTACCAACCGAAATGAGACTAAATACTTCTAACTTACCACAATCATACTGTATCAGACGTGGATCAGGAAACTGAATACGACAGGACATAACCAACTGATGTAACTTTGATGGCATTAACCACATTTGAGGACTCCAAGGTATTGAACGGTCCAAGGTTTTTCGATCATGAAATTCAAAAGAGTTTACAGGAAAACATGAAGGATGTAAACAACCTGAGGTTAAAAGCATATCTCGAATTCGAATTTCTTGATTGAAAACTTGATGTTCCAGAGCATGGTAGGAAACTTGAAGTGTAAAACCCGATGATATAACAGCAGGCACTACAAAAACGAACCTTTTGGAAAGAAATCAAAGGGCTAACTATTCGATAAATAAATTAATAATTTAACAGAACTTAATGTAGAGTTAACGTATTCCGATGCCTTATATCAAAAATCTACTTACCTTTTCAACAAAGTTAAAGATACTATCAAAACCAAGAAGCCATAATCACTTAGCCGTATACAAATAGCACATGCAAATAAAATAAACCTGCAAAAACTCAAGCATTCAAAACCATTAGAAACATACAGCTGAGAATAATATAACATATACTAAATTGCTTTGTTGTGTATCAGCTAGAAATCATAGTGAGAGGATGAATTATTTCAATTTATATACGTTGAGCTCAATTTAAATCTATCAGCTGTTTGCACTGAGTACAAATCATTTCATCCATATGATCATGATAAACACCATACATACCAATATTCTAACCATAGTACTCTGGCATTAAGTAGTTTCCACAAACATGAAAAGATTTGAGTGAAATGTTTTAGTTTTAACATGTGATAAAAATTTTGAAAATTTATAGAAAAAGGGTTTGTCGTTAATGGAGTCCGTAAAAAGCATAATGAAAAATATAACGCTCCAAATATTACGGTTAAAGAAATATTGTCGAGAATTTAACAACATATGAACTATCCATCCTACTGTCATGAATGAATATTTAGAAAAAGGAATAAATAATTGTATTAATTTTTCTGCCGTAAATTTTCACTAACTGTGGTTAATGATCAGCGTCATCATCTGAGTTTGTACAGATACGAAACAACACTTCAGATGTGATCGAAAATATTCAAAATAAGTAGAAATATTTGGAAGATGGTACGTCATAATAATGAATGCGTTTTGATTAGGTGTATGATTTAACAACAATAAGGTTTAAGGCTGATAAAAGCAAGAATCCTGAGTTCCGTCCGAATTCAGTTCTTGTGAGCAAATACAAACGTAAGTAATGTTGGGATTATAATTAGCATAAACTAAGCAAAGATATTCGGCAATCCTACCTTTTCAGAATTTCACGTAAATCATTTAAATAATCACCGGGGCTGTGCAACATCTCTCGAAGACAACGAGATGATCGAAGCCAAGACATACGTCTAGAGCAAATCGGTTCCACACTTAGTAAACTCATATGTTGTACATTACTTTCAAAACAGGATAATTGGTCAACCATAGAACTCATACCACTGATTAGAGGACAGCTTCTTACTGGCCAAGTATGCAGGCTCTGTTGACAGTAAACTGCACCATTAATGAGACCCGGATATATGTGAACATTTTGGAGTGTCTTGACAGATTTTTCAAGCATCAAACGATTAATGAGCAAAACCAAATCTGGACCAATGTGAGTTCCATGGTCCCAATACATTCCTATATCATTTGAATGTGATGTAAACGTCAAATCACAACGGCGTTCATTGATTCGACTCATCAAGAGTAATCTTTCACGTCGTTCAAGAAAACGACGACGTAAACAGGACTTTGGGATACCAATATCCCATGCGTTTTTCGGGAAATCAACTATGCATAAAGGTATAAAAGAAAGACGAATAACCTGTAAAACGAAATTTAGTATCAGATGTAAACAATTACACAAGATAAGCCACAAACAAGAGCATACAACTAAATGAGCAAAAACTCCCACATTGTGTCGAATTATTTTGCGTAAAATACAGTATACAAATTATAACCGTATTTAGCTCTTTACATTATCTATCTCAGTAATTTTCGTGGAAACATTATTTAAATGAATAGACGGCAACTCAAATATGGTTAGACATACTCCAAACCCATTCCCGTTAGTTATAACAAATAATGAAACATTTCCTCATAATATATAATAACACGTCCTAGTATCATAAAATTATTAGATGTACACATTTATGCAACTCTGGTAACTTGAATCTTATCTATATTTTGATATAGTCAGTCAGTTGCAACGTAAGAACTTCGTACGTATGTACATAAGTTCATGTTGCTTGAACTAAAGTTAAGGATAAGCAGTAAAACACATTAAAAGATGGATTAGGAATTTCAAAGAGATACTATGAGAAAATGTAATTTTTGAACGGTAGCGAGTAATGACTAATATTTTGACACAAGTGAATGCAAAACTACAGACGATCAGGATAATGCAAACCAGTACCAAATCAGATACTTGGACTGGTATGTTACTATCGACTGAATTCGATGAGCTTAATGTGTGAGTGTGATGACGTCTACACAGATCTAATGAGAAGATAATCACCGAAAGATTGGAGCTAAAACATATAAAATTAAATGATTACCAAATATTTTGCTCTACAAGATACTTTAACTTAAAATACGCCCTTTGGAATAGAATATACGACTCTATGAAACCAAGGGGGGGGGAATAGCGCTCAGTTGTGGTGCTTCAAATAAAAGTTTTATTTTTTATATTGTAATAATTTAAACATAATAAGTCAAAATATAACTGCAAACACATATATTAGGTAAATTTAATTGAAAAAGAATGTTATACCTTTAACTACAACTGGTTTGAGATTAGCAGGAGATGAAAGTGCAGGATAATGGTCATCAACTATATAATAAAATAGAAAATATATTCAAATTTCCGTAACCGAAATATGCAAAATAAATTCTGACCAAAAGAATGAAATTAATAAATCACAAAGTTCGCCTGTTTTCTTTACCACAATAATATGAAGTAGCTATTTTTATCTAGTAAAACTTCATCAAGACGTGTACGCAATTAATACTAACGTGCATTATTCATTTAGAATTTTGAATTACAAATCAATATTACTGTAATGATAGACTATTAGAGTATAAAGAATTTTACGGGAAACATGAAAATATTTTACTTTAACGACCCATGACTTGACTACATTTAAGAAAATAATGGTTTTAATGTATTTAACCTGTTTTACGTTGTCATTGAAGTCAATATCCCTGTTTAAAAAGCGTAGAAGAGTAGCATTAGAATGGAGGAGTCGATTTCGGAGACTATTAGTTCGTAATGGAGAAAAACATTTCCCAAGGGAGAAACATAAGATATGTTAACTGATTAGTAATAGACTACGACCCTCACCATGTATTTTAAAAAAACATATCAAAGCTGAACCACAGAAACACAACTGTGTTTTATTTAAAACTGGATAAAGTGAATCTGGAAATCCCAAATATTAACGACCAAAATAAATAACTTTCTTTAGATCATTTTATAAACAGTTTTATTTGGTTTTCTAAAAGTGTAACAATCAGCAAAATTCTTTAACAAATTCTAAACATTCCATATTGAAGTGTTCTTCTTAAAAACAAAAACTATGAGAAGTGTTCTGTATGCATCAAAATACAAACTATGAATCTCATGAAGATAAACATTTTAAACAGAAATGCCGAAGAAACGGCATTTTCCTGCACGGCGTTTTACAGTCAGGAATTAAAAGGTCAACTAGTAAACAGAGGAACCTAGAATAGTAGCCTCGAGAAACACATTTAAAGACATCCAGAGCGAGCTGAAGGAATGTTTAGGAGGTTCACAAAGTAAATGGAATCAACTGACATTTTAAATGAAATTTGCAATGGGAACAATTGTACTTAAAATGATAACGGAAACTCAAGTCCTGTAAATACAAATACAATTAAAATAATAAAAGAACAATATCCAAACACAACCGTCCCAGAAAATATACTGTGAGTAAAATACGACTCAAAGGTATTTGGAACTGATGAAGTTACTCAAAAATAAGTGTGGGGCAAATGGGACTACTAACGCAATAAGAATTTAACAGTGTTAGCTGATACTCACAATGCTCAAAGCACTTTGAATCAAATAAAGGAGCTCTGTTCAAATATTCTCCTTGAGATTTTCGGGATTTCTTCAATTCGTTAAACTGTATCCTCTGAGAAGTGACTACAAAATAAACAATATATACAAATAGTAGAAGCAACAAATAATGATTATATGCTAAAGATTCACTTATCAATCCGAAGCGATGAAAATAGTAGTACAATATAAAATTTGCTGAGGAAGAATAAAGTAACTTGAATTAACTTGTAAATATATACTGAATAAAAGAAACATATCATTTCTAAACCCAAACTGATGATCAATACCCTGGTATTCATTGTTTGTAACAGGAATTTTAAAAAGAGCATCATTCACGGTTTCAAAGTAACAGTTATAAGATCTGTATGAACATTGTTTAAAGTAGGTAGACAATCTTATGATGCCACAAGAAAAGAAACTAACTTAGTAGTCGAACGCTAATGTTATCATGTCACACGCAGTATTAAAGAATGACTTCAAAAGTCTGGTTAGCTTTACTTAAATTTTAAATCCTGCTATGGTCTCTAGAAATAAACCATGTCAACCAAAAATAATACTTTCTCTGACATTGAAAGTAGGAAATAGACAAAACGTTAAACACCGTGATTTTAGACTAATATAAATAATAAGTTGATATCGAGAAACAAGATAATAAGCAATTTACAAACAATACACTCGTGAATTTCCAATAAAACTCTAATTTTGCATAAGTTGTACACCAAGGAATTAAAGACATAAGATATGATTTAAGACTTACCATCATCGATTACATCACTAGAGTCAATAACGGTAATCAAGTCTTCTCGAGCACGCAATTGATGACATCGTCTTGCAACAAAGCCTGGTAAATCCCGAGCCATTTCGACTAAATTCATTGTTTGTCCCAATAAACGAGCAACTGATCCTGCGGTATCTAACCAATCTAAATCAGGATCAGAAAATGCTGAAGCAGATCCAAAAACACTTTGGCTACCATTTGAACTCGGAGCAAATACTAAGAAGGGATGGCAAATGGATACCAGCAATCTTGGAAGAGAATATGTTAGATAGGAGTCGGCGACCCGAAACGGAGATATGATTGGTCTCGTTTCGAACAGATTTGGGTGGTTGCAAACTTTTCGTAGCTGCATAAGTATGTTCATAACTGATAGGAACTGTCCAGATTTTAAGGTTTCTTGAGTGCTATTGAATGAGCAATGAAAAGGTTTTAAACCTCAAGCGAATAAAAAACAACTTAAAAATACTATTAAAACAGATGAATGGCTAACACTTAATCTGTTATCCTGCTATTTCCAAAGGTGTACCATGAAGTGGCTTAGAGCGATTACACGCTATTCACAATGCTTTACATACCTAGTGATATGTTAGTAAGAGTGTCGCAGAGCCTAATAAAAGGAAGCGATTAACACATTCATAACAAAAGATTTACCCCTAATTCGTTTCCAAATAGAACAAGTAGTCTAATGATTATTATGCTACTACCACTAATCCAAAAACTTCCGAAGTTGAGAGAATGATAATGCCCTCATTAGCTACGAAGCCTAAATAAGTAATAATCTTTTAATTAAAATATTTACCGTAATAAATGCACATAATTTCAGATGTAGTCACAAACGGGAATCTCTACACATAAAGCGAACACCAAAAAGTATCGAATACATCACAACAATCGAGAAATGCAATACAGATAGGAAAATATTATTTTAGAACTTTATACCTAAAACGTAACTACACAGGTCTGAGATATGATTGAGACTTTAAAAAGGAATTTATAAAACAGATTACCTTCCAAGTGACATGAAGTCATCATATAAAAATCGTTGTCTTCTTGATAATCTACACATGATAACATGCTCGTACTTCTTTGGAAGTTGACGCTCAACATCTGCTTTGAGACGCCGCAATAAAAAAGGGCGGAGAACTTTATGGAGCCTCTGAACGAGTAATTCATTATGGTCAGTATTCCCTTCAATCATTCCTACATAAAACAGGAAAATAAGAAAAACTATATGGACAACAAGCGAAGTTTTGAGATGAATCCTTGAAAAATGTTATGTAGTTTGCCATAAGATATGAACAGAAAAGTCATTAGGAATTGCGTAGAGTTTATTACACAACGACACTATATTAACCATAAGTATTATTTTGGGTGTTCAGGATATAGTTAATTCGACATATTCTGATGGGACTCCATATTTCATAACAAATTACTAACAAAAACAGTTAGTTGGAATGAACTATGTGGTTTAGAATAAATGATATATTGTATTACTACTTTACGATCATCTAATCAGATCAAACCAGTGTTTGCATTAAAGAAATACGTGGATTAAAATATGCTTAGTGGGGCATTAAGCTTCGTATTCCTGGATGTAATTATACTTTTGTTGACGATTAGGAAGGTGAGTGTGTGTTCGAATTTCAACAAATTTTCGTTAAAGTACTTTATGGGCTTTCAATACATTATTTTACGTTTCAAGTGACAATTACTCAGTTTATAAATTTTCATCATCGTTACCGATTAGATTATATAGACCTTTAATTCTACTGGGGTTATCATCAGCAAAGCTTCTATTACGACACTGCACTTACTTCACTGTATTGAAGTTGGAGTTGAGAAATATTAGCTTAGTGCACGAAAGTATCAATATTAGACAATGACTTTAAACCCACTAACTTAAAAATTGATCTTTTGTGCAAGCAACCGCTGAAACTAAAAATAATATTTTTTCAAGAGTTTAAATAAGTTATCACTGATATATAGTAATTCAACCCGTTTATTTACCGAATCCCTGAGTTACAATATTTGTAACTCAACATCTAAAATGCGCATTTTACAGTATAAATCTACCTTTTGCGAAAATTACTTCACAAGTAAATTTACGAGGATCGGGAAAAGTCTACTATAATCTATTTGTGAAATGAATTCGGTACTATTACTTGCTTATGAATAATATCATTTCTTCTAACAGCGTCTTAAATCTCACTCCATTAATGATATCATACCTGGTTTAAATGTTTGAGCACTGTGAGTAATGAGCACATTCATCAAACCTCACAGTGATTTTCGCTGTTGCTTCATGCTCTCTGGTTTCTTTTTTTCTAGTTATAAATGATTACAAGTATTCTGTAATGGGACTGGAATCGCTTTCTTCACCACACTATTCATTCGCAAAATGACATCAAGACTTACAAATAAAACACTAGTCCAATAAGACATTTACCATTCCGAAACGCTCATGACGTAACAGCCATGCTACTTTCTTAACGCGATTACGAAATACAATTATTGAAGACCGTTAAAGTGTGCAATTTGTTACCAATGATGTTTTTTAGAATGGAACAAAGCAAGCGTGTTCGGGATGCGATTCTCCCCGTCGAAATGCAAAATTTCGCACCTAAACTAGTGATAGGAAGTGAAGTAGTTGAGCGTGTTGACCGCTTTATCTTGCGAGGCAAGATATCCGTTTGCTAACCAAAGGACTCCTCAAATACTATTTTCGAACCCTAATCTTCTCCATTACCGCTAATATTTCTACTTCCTCTACCACTTTGGGATTTGACTTGACAATTGCGTCTGTGTTAATGTGGTATAGCAACCTGAACTGATGTACGTAAGTAATAATTTCTACGTTGTAAATGACTAACTGACCGCTATCGTCTCTGACTACACACTCTGCCTATCTCATATCTCGGACTATTAATATCTTTGGTGGCAAACATTTAACCAAGACAGTTTAAAAATTACATCTTTCTTAATAGTGTACCACCTTTTCAACATAGAATTTAATTTCCATCAACCTGGTCATACCCATAAGTTGGTGTAAGAAGAATATGAAGGAAAGTTAATACTCAATGGAACCTATTTAGTAAAACTATGCTTATATTTTTTGGCATCATAATAGTGTTCATTAAGAGGATAATCAATACATATATTGCAGTAATGAAATGACTTACCAGTAATAGGTGAGGCAAACCATTCTTGAAAATCTCTATGGGATTGGAATATGTTTGGCATTAGAAAATGCATCAGGGACCAGAGTTCCATTAGGGAATTCTGTAGTGGTGTACCAGTAAGGAGTAAACGTCGCTGGCTATTGAAAGTAAGTAGAGTTTGCCAACGTTGAGATTTGAAATTTTTTATGTTTTGAGCCTGAATAAAATATGAAAAACTAAACCTGAGAAATAACAACACACCACAAATGAGTAATCAGATGCAAACCAAAGAATATGGCTGGGAAAGTGTTTTAAGCAAATAACGGTGAATTTTGATAGGTGAAGTTACGCAATCCATCTGGGATCAATGTAGGTTAAGGATTGGATGTATACAGACCATAAACACGCAGTAGTGAAATGGGATACGAGTCAGTCAGTTGCAACGTAAGAATTTCGTACGTATGTACATAAGTTCATGTTGCCATACCACATGAGCACAGAGACGCAAATGTCAAATCAAATCCCATAGTGATAAAGATAGTAGGGGTAATTATTGCTAATGAAGAAGAATAGGGTTCGAAGATATTATTCAAGAAGTATAATTCAGTGAGATAAGGTTAGAAAGACAAAGGCAGAGGTGCTGAAAAAATCCAGAAGATTAGGATTTGAGAGAGCACAACGAATGGATGCACTTGAGCCATTGCAAACAATTTTGAGCCATGTCGTTCAAGGTCTCTAACCATCGGTGACTTTCGTTTCGCGGAGCACAACCAGGTAGCCTACATCTACCAACATCACTCAGTCCACTTGTCAGTGACTTCATGCATTTCTGCCATGTTTTGGTCTGGCCGCCTCTAGCTTTCTTCCAACCTACTCCTACACCACAAAGCATAGTTCGTCGAGGCAGTCGGTGGTTGCGCATTCGTAACACATGTCCCAACCACCTCAACTGATGAAGTTTCACTATTTCATCTATTAATCTACCATCCTTACCTAGTACTCATTTCCTAACGACAGCATTGCTTATATGGTTGTCCCACGATATACGAGCAATGCTTTTAAGACATCTACAATCGAATATTAATAACCTACGAGTATCACCAACTCTTACCGGTCATGTTTCGCATACATATAGTAGGACGGATAGAACTGCTGCGCAGTACACTCATCCTTTGGTTAGCAAACGGATATCTCGGTTGAGCCAAGTTGGTAAAAGGCCTTTTATCAGCGTGCACTTAAGCTGACTTTGGTCTTGGCCATATTTAGAGCCAAACAGTATGCGTTTCCGCGCATCTATCAGTTCGGTAGGTGCTACTGAGATCAACGGCTTCTTCCTAGCCTTATGATTTAGCTTACTATCAAATATCACTTCTTTTTCCACAGCTTTTTGGATATCATTCCAAGCTGCTTCAGCATAGGAATCACTTACATCACTGCCTAAAGGTTTTTCTAGTTGTTCCTGAAATATATTCTCAGCTTTGCTATCATTAAGTAGAACCCCAATAGGTCTCCTTGCGGTGTCTTTACTACGTCCAGTAAGCCACAAACAAATACGCGCTCACACCAGAGAATGATATGAATCTAAACATTTGCTCCAGAACGAGCGAGTCTTTTGTTGAACCTCTCCATCGGTGACCGTTTTTTTCCATCTGGCTTATAAATACAATAAACTTCGGGGTCATATCTTCTGGTTCTTTGCGTCAGTATGAAAGTAATCATATTCTGTACGCCGTAACCAACAATCTCCGATGTCGAGAGATTGCATTCTTTCTTGATTTTAAATGCCGATTACCTAAACTGTCCTGACTTTTAATCTGAGAAAACCGAGTGAAATCTTTGTTGGGAGGAAATAGATTGGATCAAAGCACAACCATGCAGGATTATTAATGCGCGCTATTCGACTCATTCTTCGTCAGTCAGAACTAGCGGATAGATCGGAAGATCGAGTGTTTCACTGTGATTCACTCTCAGTCAACTTAGTTTATTTGGGATACAATTACGTACCTGTTTAAAATGTGTTTTGATTTCGGGGATAAGTCAGGTGATGTAGAGAGTTCGAAGAATATTAAGAAATTAGGGTGACTGGGTAAGAAAGGAAGACTTAACACCTTTCTAATCCAAAATCCGAAAACCAACCAGCATATGTTTAGGAAATTCATACAACGTATAATTGCGTTGACAGTTAGCTACAAGTCACTCGACTGATTTTTAATAACACACTTCATCCAATTAGAAGTGCACTTAATTTGCAAAGTAGTGAATAAGAAGAATAACTACATAATAATTGAACCATTCGTTTAGTTTTAAACATTTGATGATATACAACCGTAAAACTTTGCTGTCACGACAAAAACCTATAAAATCATTTAACAGAAAAACTAATTCCTTTTCCGAATTTATAGTGTAAAACAATAAAGCGAAAGAATTTAACACAAAATTCGGATCAATTACCTCGTCTAAAATGAGATATTTCCACTTTTTACGTTTAAAAGCGATTGCATCTTGAATAGCTAATCTGTATGATGTTATGCATACGTGAAAAGCATTTGTTTTGGTCCACCCCTAAAAGTAAATTATAAGACTTTGAATATCTCCGAAGTTATGAAAGTTCAACGAATGAACTATACGTCTGAAATCCTAAACTGACCTTCCTTTTATATTTTCTTTCCTTCAAGCTGCCAAAATAAGTCAGAATCTTGAAAGATGGACACCAACGTTTAAATTCCACCTCCCAATTAAGAATAACACTAGTTGGAACAACAATCAAATGAGGTCCCCAAACTCCTCGTTCACAAGCTAGATATGCGAGTAGTGAAATCGTTTGAATAGTTTTACCAAGACCCATTTCATCAGCGAGGATTCCATTTAGACGCTTATCATAAGTGGCGACTAGCCAAGACAAGCCAACTAACTGATATTCCCTAAGATTTCCACCGGAGAGCAAAAAGGGCGGAGATATAGTTGCCAAACCAACTCCTGAAGAAGCATTCATTCTTTCATTGGTTGTGGACTGTAAGAGAAAGTAATAAAATAAGGGTCTCATTGATTAAGAATACAGTATACATAATCACTCGAATAAAAAGTATGTGAGAATGAGTAGCATAAACTTCATCACAGATGAGTAGGAAGTCAAAGGATTGAACTTTTTCACAATAGCTCAATGACATTTAAAAAACTGGTTTCTCTGACGGGATTTTACAGAAACGAGGTCAAATCTCACAAAAATATCCAGCTCTCCATAAGCGTTTCAACTTAAAGAATCCACAATTTTAAAGAGCATATGCTTTTGGTAAGGAAAGTTCATGTATTTAGTTTTTACTACTACATGTTAGTCGTTTTCTTAAAGGATAACTCTCATTTATATTTTCGCTACAACCTTATTCGTTATATGATTAGTTATGATTTTTAGTTTGCTAATTCTGTTGCCTTCTAAGGTTATTGAGTACTTCTACATAAACAGAGTTTTTCCATTTTAATTTCTGACCCGCTTTAAGCCCAAACGTCTCGAAATAGCCGTTAACCCAAGAAAATACCTTCTTATAATTCATGCTTAAGGAAACCTTAAAATAATTCGAAGGATGAAATAAGTAGACTGTACAATTAAGTAAATATTAACATAATCTCAAGTTATAAAGATAAATGCTAATGAAAACAATGAATAAAAGCTCAAAAAGTATCTTAGTAAGCTGATAACTGTATGTGAATGTTTTAGAACCGATTTAGGTAGCTTTAAAAAGAGAAGACTACGAATAGAAACAGTCCACACAGCATCAGTAAACATATTCAGTCCTAATGAAATAAGTGTGGTTTACGAATAGAATGATAAGCTTTAGATAGTGAAATTAACGCATAAAGCTTACACAAAGTCAAACTTAATCGCAAAACAATTACCTCAGTATTTTGCTTGTCTGCAGATGTTTGACGGGATGACTTTAGTGTTTCTTCACACATATTCATAGTGGAGACTACATTAGCATTATTACCAGATTCCGTTGAATTAGCATTTTTATCATAATCCATAAGCTTTCTTAGTGATACTTCAGAATCACATATTACAGATGAACACTCGTTTACATTTGAGGGTGACATTTTCACCTTATTATCAGCATCTTCAATCTCGTTAGTTATTAGAGATTGTGAATTTGACTCAACATCGAACACGTTTGAGGCGAGTTCGAGGTTGTGCTCATTCTTATTAACACAAACGACAGTTTTTTCTTTCACTGGTATAATTGCTTCTAATGTAAGCGTATCTAATTTCTTTTCAAACATAGATATATCAGTTTCATGATTAATTTCTTCATTTTTCTCTGGATACTGACACTCATTGGGAATTTCAGAGGAGCATGTAACTGTATCCCCTTCTATTATTTTCCTACTATGTGGTTCGTCAGAATCCTTAACCTGTAAGGAAGGATAAGAGTACAAAAACTTAAATCATATACTGGTGAAAGATTCAGTGAACTGAACTCATATTGTGAAAACTAATAATAATATAAGTAATTTATGGAAATTTTTACAATCAATTGAATTACCAAAAAATAATTAGTAAGCGTAACGAAATCGTAATTGTTACTTATAAACTACAGTAAAAGATAAAGGAAGTATAAGTTGGAAAATCCAGTGAACCATTTGTTCTTTGAATTGATGGATAGATTTAAGTTGTCAGTATAAGGTTGTGGAGATTAATGAACCTGGTTGAAATCATGAACTGACCAATGTTCAGCTACTAGTCAGTTCATAATTTCCATTAAATTTTAGTTAGCTTATTCATTTAACCACGTAAACATTGGTACAAAGAGGTATCTAGATATTTCTGCGCCACACAAATTATTGAATTTGTGAGTGGGGCGGGATACTGCCTGGACGCCTAAACCGAAGCAGGCGGTTTTCTTTGAGGGCCACACCCTAAGACTTTGAACCGAAAGTCTAATCCACAGGGCAGTGGAGCAACGAAAGGAAATGCAGTCCTACGGTAACCGGTGACCAACGATAGGTTCATATGCCATTTGTTCCATTAAGATTCTGTTGTAACGCTTGTTTAGATAATTCCCGGCTAATTCCTATTGCTTAGTATTCTCTGACCACAATATACTGGACAAGTTCCAAAGAATCAAAAACACGGTGGAACAGGAAAAGATTATGTTCCAAATATCAAGGTTAAATGGAAATAAGAAGCCGGAGGCGAAGGCGAAGGCAAAATAGATACAACGTTAGTTTCTTTATAATATTTACATGAGAAGCTTCTGGATAGTAATTCACGTGATCGACTGGATTAGATTTAGCCAATCAGAGTGCAGGTAGCAACACGAGAATGTTCCACCCTGTTCTCTAAGAATCGATCAGGCGCTGATTGGATAGCAAATTAGCCAATCAGCGCGCAGCAACGTAGTCATGCTTTAATTCCATCTATGTCCCACTAATACCTCCCCTTTGAGACGATTCGTAGGATCTGGTGCTAGAGTCCAACTGCTTCCTGGGTGCCTTGCCACCCGTACTCTTACGAGCCGCCTGCTTTGTAGGAGCCATATCTTTAAACAACCGTCGATTGGACTGCTTCCCCATCGATAAGTTTTGTTGAGGCTCGTGAACAGCATATGGTATAGGGCGTCTCGGACGTGAAACAGGTTTGGCATCTGCTTTCACTGGTAGGTGAGTTTTCATATTCGTACAGCGGCCAAAGTTATTCTGAAAAACAGCGGCTGACTTCCTCTTCCGTTTATTTTGTAACCTTTCACCGTCTTCTTTGTAAGTACTGGGGTGTACAATGATGAAAACGATATGTTGCAGACACTGTTAGTGGGTACATCCATTATTCCCAGTTTTTCTAGCATATCTAGACCAAGAAGATCAATGTTTGGCCGTTCTGTCAGCTAACATATTCCTGTACATTTTGTTCCGTTGAAGGAAAATTCACACTGGAGTTCGCCAACCAGTTTTAACACCACCTGAAGCACTTTTAGCTGTTTTCTTAGATGGCTTCATTAGTGGTTTTCCCAGCAAGTTATACGTTTCTCTAGACACTAAGGTGATATCTGATGCCGTGTCGATTTGAAAACGAGCTAATGCACCGTTCATCTGGATAGTAACATACTTTCTCCGAACGTCATAGTCTGTTTGAAAAGCAGCTACCAGGGAAAGTGATTTAGACTCGGCTAATTTCACATGTCGAGTCCGTTTATGTTTCTTCCTGGGCTGAGACGTACGACTCGGTTGACAATGGCCTTGTTTATGTCCACGTTCGCTGCACATCTGACATTTGTTTTTTAAATGGACAGAGTCGTACGTAATACCAATCACCACATAACCAACAGATTCTAGGGCTCATGTGCACCACTGGTTTGGAGACAGTTTTCCAAATCCCCAGAGTGGATGCTTCTTACCCGCCAATCTAGACGGAGCCGGACATTTGCTTTTCGCCCTTTCAACTTTGTAAACACCCCCGCAACGTGGAGAGGTTATATACGCGAGCACTTGGAAACAGACTCTCCGCCCTCAACTGTACCAGGATATTTGGCGGAAAATGCCAGTTAACGGGATATAGTATTAAAGATAAGACTGAAGCATTTCGGTAATTTGACTTGAATAGCACAAAAGAATTATAATCAAGTAGTGGAAAATAACTGCGGCTTAGTTTTATTTCGTATCAACAGAATTAGAAAATTGCACAATGGATAGAGCGAAACAACACAAACTTGTTTCTTTACGGGTTTTGCAAAGCAATCCAAATGTTTATACTACGGGTGATCAACTAAAAACATGGACATGTCAAGGAGAAACACACAGTACAGACAACTAGATACTGTCTTCAGGATATTTCTACATTAACCTCATCCAATAAATACATAAGTATGCAAGTCATTCCTTCAAAATTCAGAAAAACACTAACCTTACTAACTGACGAGTTTTGTTCTTCTGAATTTACCGATGAATTTGATGTGATGAATTCGAGATATCCAGGAGGTAAAAGGTCTTCTAATGGACAATCGGCATCAGCTGCTAGTTGTTCAAGCTCCACAGCTGTAGAAATTTCAGAACCATGTTGACCTTCTAAAGCGAGTTTTTCTTCTTGCTCTATAGTTTCTTCATCATCTTCAACTTCATTGAAAGCCACTTCATTTACCTACAAGAGGAACAAGTTAAGACACCTCCAATAATTTTTTTAACACGATGCAGAACACCGAAAACAACTTTTGTCGTTTACTAAAGTTAAAAATTAGGTATGTTATGTCACAATCCAAAAGACAACAATTTTATCATAATGAAGACAGAAAATTGACAGTAAGTGTAGTAACAAGCTGATAATAGTTAATGAGTTATGTGGCGATGTAGTACACATAATATTTTAATGCCTGGTAATGTTAGAAAATGGATAGTAAGGACGTTATCATTATAAGGCAGTCAGTCAGTTACAACGTAGAACTTCGTACACGAGTAGATAAGTTAAGGTTGCCATAACCTATCAGCATAGAGACGCATTCGTCAATTCAGATCTCATGGTGATAGAGATAGTAGAATTATTGGCAGTTATGGAGAATATTAGGGTTCGAAGACATGATTCGAAAGTATGATCAGTCAGTTGCAACGCAGAACTTCGTACGTATGTACATAAGTTCATGTTGCCTTACCACATGAGCACAGAGACGCAAATGTCAAATCAAATCCCATAGTGATAAAGATAGTAGGGGTAATTATTGCTAATGAAGAAGAATAGGGTTCGAAGATATTATTCAAGAAGTATAATTCAGTGAGATAAGGTTAGAAAGACAAAGGCAGAGCTGCTGACAAATCCAGAAGATTAGGATTTGAGAGAGCACAACGAATGGATGCACTTGAGCCATTGCAAACGATTTTGAGCCATGTCGTTCAAGGTCTCTAACCATCGGTGACTTTCGTTTCGCGGACCACAACCAGGTAGTCGACACCTATCAACATGACTCAGTCCACTTGTCAGTGACTTCATGCATTTCTGCCATGTTTTGGTCTGGCCGTTCCTAGCTTTCTTCCAACCTACTCCTACACCACAAAGCATAGTTCGTCGAGGCAGTCGGTGGTTGCGCATTTGTAACACATGTCCCAACCACCTCAACTGATGAAGATTCACTATTTGATCATTCCGTGACTCCGGATGGGAATCACTTGCATGGTCGCCTAACTGTTTTTCTAGTTCCTCCTGAAATATTTTCTTAGCTTGATTATCATTAAGTAAAGCCCTAAGAGGCTTCCTTACGGCGTTTTTCTTACGTCCAGTAAGCCTCAAACAAATACGCGCTCGCGCTAGGGCATGATCTGAATCTAAGCGTGTGCCCCACAACGAGCGACAGTCCTCTATCGAACCCCTCCATCGGTGGCTGATGACGATGTGATCTAGTTGAGTCCAACGTTGAGACGACTTCGGGGGTCGCCAGGTCAACAGATGCTTTTCCTTATGCCTAAAGTTAGTGTTCGCTAAGAATAGGCGGTTATCTGAGCATACTTGCAACAAACAATCGCCATTGTCTGTTCTCTGAGCCGCGACACCGTAACATCCACCTAGGTGTCTTTCATTGTCACTTAGTCTACCTACTTGAGCATTAAAGTCATCAGCCATTATAACTATATCAGAGCGCTTAACTTTTTGGAGGAGGTCCGAAAGCTTTCTGTAAGACTCATCTTTCACCTCGTCTGAACTGCAGTCAGTGGGGGCATAGGCAGATACGACGAAGAGGCAACGACGAGTGTCCCTATCTTTCCGAGTCCTTACTGTCCCGTTTAGTCGGACGGCGCACAAGCGACTATCTACAGGGATCCAGTCGAGGAGAGATTGTTTAGCTCTACGACTCAATGCTATACCTACACCAGCTAGGCCCCTGGAAGCAGCATCAGGGCTACCGGATACACGAAGGGTAAAGCGAGCTGCTTCTTTATCTTGACATGGTGAGGTCAAGTGAGTGATTCTACTTGGACCCTAATGCGCGTTTCCGAGACGCAGCACACATCGATAGTACGAGATTATAAAGTCCTGGCCAATGATGCTTTTTGCCCTATTTGACACAATGTCCGTACATTAAATGCTCCAACATGTAGTTCAGAACGGGGTTTAAGGAGACCAGGAACGACGTTTCGCAAACTCGCATCGTCTGCATTAGCTGTGCACTGTGATAAATAAATGTGAGAAGAGTTAGTCGTGGAGATAAGAGAGGTATTAGGGGATGTAGGAAGGATGTGATTTTGACCAATTTGGTCTCTCGCGCTGTTACGGGTATGAGGGCGGTTGTCACTTTCCGGCTGCCCACACCGTGGAAGGTTGTTTCTTGAGGAACCTGAAAAGGAAGGTAGATTAGTGTTGGTCTTAGAGACCTGGGTGCGTGACCGCAGAGCCCAGGGGACAACTGCTTTAGGCCGGTCACGCACCGCCATCTTATGAAAGGTTTTTTGAGTATTAGCTCCACTCTTTTTAAAGCCCTTAGTGGGAAACCTTTACCGACGGAGACGGAAATCCGTGAGGTAAGGTGAGGTGTGACATTTTTAGGGTCGACCTTCTCTAACCCCTTCCTTCTCTGTGAGAAGGCAGCATCGCTGCAGATGCTGGTTGTCCGAGGGAAACACCTTACTGCTGTCACATCCCTCTACAGTCAACAGTACGACTTCGCCCTAAGACCTTGGGTAGCTGCTTTTAGTCTCATCGTTCTCCAATCGACCTGCCTGACATGGTAGAACCTACAGGAACATAAGTTTCAGCCAATATAGCTCGGTCAGGTTATGACGATAAGCAAGCCCGACCACCACTCAGTAGCAGTACGGTTGGGTTTTCATTTTAGGTACAATCAGAAAGGTGAACAACTGAATTACGTTGGTTATATTGCCCTACAGTATTCGGACATGTTTCGCCATTGAAAAATGCTTACAAAGTACATCAAAAATAGATTCTTCAAATCTTCGCCTGGAGATCTTCTAACACGATAACGTTTATACTAGTTATAGAGCTCTTCTAGCATGTTCATTTCGAATTACTCAATTACTAGTGGCTGGGATAAGGACTCAGTGGTGGACTAAATATGGTATCTAATGACTTCTTTTATCAATATGGGTTCTAGCTTCTCACTAGGTAAATTTGGTAAGTGAAATCGTCAAAGTAAATGCAATGTGACGAAGAAAAGTGGGAAATCACAGAAAGTGACAATTTAGTTTGTCAACATACTAATGAATATTGCTAGAGTCTAGAACGATTCTCGTAAAATTACTACCTACATCCGATAGAAGTGGATTGTACCACTTTTCGCTTGACAAATGAGGGCTGGGAGATGCTCAGATGCTCAAACCGAATATATATATATATATATATATATATATATATATATATATATATATATATATATATATATGAACAATGACCAGAATGAAGAATCAAGAAAAGGGACAAAGCGTTTTTTGAAGTTAATTGAAACTTACAGTGAACTCTTCATCCGAGATGTCAGGTTCCTCAACAGGGGACTTCAGAATATGTTGTCCAGTATCTGAAGTATTTTCGTTTTGATTATCGTCTACAGATGATTTAATACTACTAACATTACTTTCCTTCGGTTTACAACTAGTGATTCCTTCGGTTAACCAACGAGTATACTCCTCAGTTGTTTCAAGTACTTGTCCAAGATGTGAACTAATGGCTTGTTGACGTTTAGCTGTTAGTCGTACTTGTTGCTTAGCTTGAACAATCTGTTTAATAGAAGTTTAAAAATATTAGTTATCACTGGAGCAAACGATGAAGTACTTCATCGGAGCAACATCTGGAAAAATTATTACCTCAAATCGTATGTTGCTGCATCCGGAAAACCAAATGCAAAACCAACAATAACTATTGAAACTAACGATTATAAGAAAATCATTTGATAAAAAATTAAAGATATTGGTTAAGACTATGTTTTACACAATCGAATCATCGATCAATCATTGTTCGACCACCATTAGACACCTGGAAGCACTGGGCGGCTATTTCGTCCTGGTATAGGACTCATCAACAGTGCGCATCCACGACTCCTGCTACTCGCAGGATTCGAACCGAATACCTTTGGCCTTGCGCGCAAACGTCTAACCTCTCGACCACGGGGCTGGCATCCAATGGTGTTAATGTATAACTCTGGTTGACTTAGGGATTTCGCTCAACCTCACCCGTTTGTCTTCGGTAGTTACTGCCTACACCGACAGGGAACTCCGCTGGTCACGTCTTCTAACTAGAAGTCCGAGAATTCCCTCACGAAGCTAGTCACTTGTCAGCACATTATGGTGGTCTAACATTGATGAAGTACTCAGAGATGAATGAAATACGGGGTGATATTACTCTGGTTTCTTCAGATTCGACGGTCTGCACGTATGTAGAAGTAACGTTGAAGATCCAGTTCTAGACAATACTCTTGAGAAGTGATTTTATGTACTTAACACAGAATCAACGCTTATGAGAAATCTGCAAGCCTTAACCAAAATACTTTAAATGGAATGTATACTTAGTAAGAATACTAGTGAAATCTTAATGGAACTCAGCAACAATCACACTATATTTTAATTGGCTTTGAGTTGGTTTGTACAAGAGTGACGGTCCTATAACTGTTGTTTCAAGGATTTGAATCAACAAACGAGCAACTGAAAGTAATACATACCTTATCCATTTGACGCCACCAATCACGAACCATCCTCGCAATAAATGCACACATTTTTCGAATACGGATCACCTCCTCCTTTTCGATTCTCAACGCTCGTTCACTTTTATCTCGATAACATTTGAGAGCAGTTAGAGCAAGCTTAGGAGATAAACACAAGTAACACAAAATATATTTAGAAAATTTTTAAAAGAAACATCTAGATGATATCTTCTGAAGATAATACTAATGAAAAATCTTTGAAGCATGAATATGCAACCGTCAAAACTTTAAAGTAGCTCCATGTTAAAACAGAAATAAACTTACTTTCTTGGCGGACACCCGTTTCCATTGACGCTCACGCTTAAAATCCTCAGCTAGCCAATTGATTTCCGCAAACATATAATCACTGTAAGTACGACATGATGGTTCAGAAGGTGGAACTAAAGAAATATTGGTTGAGATATCGATGCAGCCGGATTCGGTTTTTCCACAAGACGAATCATCAGTTGACCATAAGCCATTCCGTTTGAGTTCAAGGACACGTTTGAGAATGTTTACTTCTTCCGTTGCACATTTCAGTAGGGAATTCTCGTCCAACCGACGCTGCAAAATAATAGGTAATAAGATCACATGGTACGTTGCAGAAAATACACGACTAAACGAGGAACTAGTGAAAGCTGTGATAAAAGTGGCTGTAATTAATATGCCTTGCGATTTTTATTCCTAAACTCATACAACTAGCTGTTATATGCACTCAAAATTCGAGGAAAAAAGTCATCCGGAGTAATTTTTGTAATGGTCATATTGAAACTGCTTGATTTTTTTAATACTTATTATATCTAATATTCCCCTAAATCCTGTTGAATTAAGAACGTGTGTACTATGTTAATAAATAATTAGCCGTATTATAAACTTTTCTGTACAAAAAACTTTTTGTTAATTGCGTTAGAATTCCGACAACCCACGTTAAAGAACTATTACTTAGTCTCAGTAAGCGCTTTTAATGATGGATCACAACCTTATAATTATACTATTGCTTGGTTTAGTAGTAGTTCAGCCAGTTAGCTACAGCGTAGAACTTGGTACGTATGCAGATCAGTTCAAATGGTCATGCCGCATTAGCACAAAGATGGGACTTTAGATCCTGATTCCATAGTACTAAAGGTGGTGGGAGTTTTAGCAATAATAGAGATTAGGGTTTGAGGACATGATTCTAGAAGTATACCCCAGTGAAATAAATTTTAAGAGAAGAAAGAGGTCATGAGGAACTGAGAAGTTGAGGCAAGACAAAGAATGGACGCTCCTGGGCCATTGCAAACGATTTTGAGCCATGTGATTCAGTCTCTAACTACCGGTTACGACTGTCTCGCGGACCCTAACCAGGTGGTCTACACCCATTGACAAGGCTGAGTTTAGTAATCAGAGACTTCTCGGATTTGTGCTATGCTTTGGTTTGGCTAGTAGTACAAATCGATATGATTACACACACAGTGAAGGAACTAGAATAAAACATACATTGGTCCGAATAGCTAAGACTAATACCAGACCAACAAAAGCACTAGAAAGAGTATGCACCGTGCGGTTCATTAAATTTGTGTGAGCTCGTATAGTGCCTAGGTGCCGAAACCGAAGCAATTGGTTTTCTTCAGGGGCCACAACAAAAGCTAATGACAATTTGATATTAAAAAAGTGGAATTATTACGGTGATAATCCAAATAAACCAACAGATAAAACTAAGCGTTTCCTTAACATAGAAACCTATTTTTAGTTCTAAGAACAGCCAAGGTCCGCATGTGAGCGTTCACGCTTTGGCACGAGAATTTAGAGTGATGGTTGGTCTTTTTTCAATATCCGCTAAATATAACAGTCTGCAGTTCATTTCCGTTTTTAGATTGGAGGATAACACGAGCAAAAGACTAAAAATAAAACATTCTTGCCCTGATTTTTTTGATTAAATCCGAAATAAAGTAGCACTCACTCCTAGGAGTTGTGCTTAGTACAGAAAAATAACCGTGGTGGCCAATAAGTGGGAACCACGAGAAACAGAGGCTTTTAGACCACACAACTTACTTCGTCTTCGTCATCCTCTGAGTCATTTTCTAAAGCGACCAGTTGAGAACCCAAACAAGGAGGAAAAGCCCCATTCGGTGGGAAAATGGCATCACTTGTGACATGGCCCGACATGTAATCACTGATCAAGGAGAGGTCCTCAGGATCAAGATGACCTGAGCACAGCGCTTGCATCAATTCTTGCGTTTTTTTTCTCCTCCATTCATAAAACTCGATTAGAAGAGAACCAGTTTGTATAAAATTTAGTTCGACAACATCTTCATGATAGGATGACTGAACTACGTGCAGTAAGTCACGGAGACAACACACTACTCTGTTTCGTAAATCCAGATTCGAATACTGTCCTGCGACGACTTTATGGATGTTCACAGTAGAAGTGTTGGGAACCACCTCTGACCCGGTGTGATCAATGTTATCGGATTCAACCATTGTGTTGTCTCATTTGAAAGGCCATTTAGGCTGTTTCTGTTCAGAAAAAATAACAACTAGAATCATAACAACAACAATATTACCCTTTAAAATAAAAATGGAAAACACAAAGACGTTGTCACTTACAGCCAGTAAAATACTGAACCAAACTATCTCAAACATGCAAAAATGGATTTACAGGCAAAAATACTTTTACTTTGGTTCCAGCAACGATATTACCTTCATAAAAAACATACTACCAGACTTTTGCAGATAACAAATCACCGAAGAGAAAGTAGAGTACCGTACCAACCCGAGATGCATTGAAACACTGGATATTCAATAAACAATCACTTTAAGGGACATTTCATGACAAATTTTATAAAATCTCAGAAATCATGGACATCCACACTTATAAGATGCTTTTCACACATACAGTAGTTAATGTCTTTCCTAAATCCCTACGCTATCAGTCCGATCGTATGTACGATGCTACAAACGTCTTAGCACCTCTGAGTATGTATGTATTATCTACTAAACAGCATCTCATAGATTAGCTTAACATAGCTAGTCCAAGTTTAACATTATGATATTACTGGTTTATTCACTATAATAATTTCCGGATCAAAATACCTTAGCATTGTGTCCAGAGGAAGTATGTTCAATCATTCCTTTAATCTTCGCTAACTTCTGGCTTAAGTAGTTAATAATAATTTTGATAATGATAGTTTAAAAACATTTATGCAGCTTTCCGCTCTACATCGTCGTACCCTGAACTTATCCACAAACCATATCATTGTTTCGATTATTATCACTGTTTTCGTTAACAGATGACGCTTGCAAATGTTTTGAGGGATGTCATCAGCACTCACCCTCGCCTGTTAACTCGTACCTCATTCACGTTATATTACAAGTTATGAGATTTCTGGCCTCAAATTTCATTGCTATCTCTGCAGCTGTAAATAAATCTCTAAAACAAACAGTTGTTTAAGTTTTCGATAGTGGCTCTGATCGCATTAGTTTTAACGAACACATCCTAGCTGAAGGCTCTCGTTCGCGCATCCGAACAAGACCACCATTCAGCACATAGTCCAACGCATTCCCTAGCATCAACTACCAAGCCTATTCCAGTACTCCTTGACATCCTAACCATCTTTCGAAGAAACCTTTGATACTCTTTACTCCTACCCTCTACTTTGAATCAAATTTGATTATTCTGGAAAGTTACTGACAAAAGGGCTGTACAGTTCTGAATATCATTGAAATCTTGCTCATCCTATATTACCATATTTATTCTGATCAATAATCTCAGAATTTCATTTTTACATGTGAACTTATTTAAGTGGACACTTCATGTTAGTTATCCCAACATTAATAAATAATCCTAAATTCATATGATCTAATGTGAACCATTGTATTTTTCTTTAAACTCAAACATTTTTGGGGATAATAATCTGGATATATCGATGTAGATCTTCAAGAAAACTTCCTAAAACGAATATTTTCCGTTCACATGTCTGTTCGAACGTGTACAACACTCAATATCTTCGTAACAGATGCTTCGATACCTTTGTAACGTAACATGATTAACTCTGATTGGCTTGGTTCTTTCTTCAGTTTGAAAATCATCTGACAGCTTCTTAAATCTTGCCCCTTACTATCACGCAGTCAATGTTAAGCTGAAAAAATACATCAGTCAATTAGCGATTCGACTTCTGGAAAATTTATTTTGACGTCAAATAATCTACGCACCTCGAAAAATCTATAGTTCGGAAGACATAACAAAGCAATAGATACTCGAGAGATTTTTGGATAGGAGTATTTATAGTAGTAACATTAGTGTTTTTTAGAACTACCCCCGATATTCTACCTCTGACTACGATATTACGAAGTATTTTCATTCATCCTGTGCTAAACATGTAAGTTCGTCATTATTGTTATATATTTATTATCTTCTCCTGTCATAAATATTCGCTCAGTGAACATTTAATGTTTATCATTCATATTACTGTAATATCGTGAATATCAGCATCTATGTTCATTATCATCATCACAATTTTTATTTTTGTCTCCATGTATTCATCGTATGATCTTAATAAAACCAGAAATGCGCGGGTAGTAGATTCTTTACTGGTCAAAACTAATGCAAAAGTTCAAAATTGTCGACCATGTGACTAAAAGCTCACTACACAATAAACCAAGATGATAGTTCAACATACCATAGACTATTGAGAAGGGACTACAATAGCTGTAAACTGCATTAGGATTTACAAAAAGAAAATCACAGATTCTATGATGTGTCAAATAACTGATGAGATCTCGTAACCTAGAAGAGAACGTATTTAAGAGAGATTGGCTTCGCCTATCGCGAAACAGGTTTCAAAGAATCCTTAGTGTGTCAGAACATTGGACTAGCTTCGAGGACTTGACTGATTTTATCTTTATATGTTTCAGACTGTTGCCCGAACGACCAAATGTAATATGACTGCATCTCCAGAACAACTACCTGATCTATCTAATAAATCCTAGTCTTTGCATGTAATAATATCGAACTTCTAAAACGAGATCAACCCTCAGGCTGCAATCTGGACCACCACCGCATATTGAAAAGTTTGTGGCGGATGAAATCTGTATCTTCTTAGATTTCGGATATCTCCGTCCTGAAAACCATCACTACAGAACGTGAATCGTTGTCACAATTTCTTTGTCATTCAGAATATATAATAATTGACTGATTTCGTGTACGTTCGTGAATTAGGATAGTAACTGACTATCAAAATAATACGGCACTGTTTTTAGAAGATTATTCATCTTGACATCAGAGCACTCAAAGTATGTCGAATATAATAATGAATAAGTTTATATATTTATATTTGAAATGGCAAAAGAAATCATCAGTTCACGATCGTAGCTATTTATCGTTTTGGCCATCTCACTCTTCGAAAATATCTAGGCATTATTGAACTGTCTTCGTTTTTTTCGTTGATACTGTAGATGTCTGGAACTCGCGTTTCGGTGATCCGATGTTTTTCGAGGCATCTGTACTTATTAGCTGTTCCTCGCTTTCAAAGAAAGCAGCTTTGACTTGCTCAATGCTAATTATAACCATTTTTTCCAGCTTTATCTACCGTAATAGTTTTATCATTTTTCCAGATCACTTTAAATATGCAATTGTAGGTTGGTTTTAAGGGACTTTGCACATTATCCCTCCTGATAAATACATGGAAACTCTCATTCAGTAACTTCAGCACTCGTAAAAGAGGCTTTAAAATGGCAAGTGTAATCTCTCTCGCCAACGCATGATAGGATGTTGTGTGAATACGTTTGATTTGGAGGAGTTCTGAGAGTTGTTTGAAGTGGTGGCTTTCTAAGTGAACTTCTCTGTCAGTTGTAATATTAGCAGGCACTCCCTAATAAGAAACCCAATGCTCCTCTAGGGTTTTATCTATGATTTCTACTGGAGTGTCTTTTACGGACACTGCTACAGACCATCGCGATAATTCATCAATGCAGGTGCAAATATAACTGAAGTCACCTGAAATCGGTAATGGTCAAACAATATTGGCATGTATTTTCTCGAATCTGCAGTCAGCGTGACGCAAAGGACCTATTGCGGAACTAGTGTCAAAATGCACTTTAACGTTCCGATATTTTGTACATGCCTGCGTCCAGCTACGTTCACCATGGTTCATACTTGGCCACACAAAACACTCTCAGGTTAGAAAGGTCGTAGCGTTATTTCCAGTTTCTAAAACGTTTCGTCCAAAAGGCTTCGGGATAAAAGGTCGTGGTCAGTCTGTAGAGACATTACACATTATGCTTGCTTTGCGAAATGGAGTCTTTCGGAGCACCAAAGAAGTTGGATTGGATGACCTTAATCCACTTAGCTCAACAACCATATTTTGCAATGCTGCTAGTTTGTGTTAAACGATTGCTTATCGGGTGGTGGCGTTTATCGTCGTTCTTGGTAATGCATCTGCTTCTTCGTTATTCCGGACTTTTACAAACTGTATGTAAGTTGTAAATTTGGAAATAACTTCCAGTTGTCGAATTTTTCTAGGCAAATACTTATCCTGTCTGTCGTTTCATGCTTTCATGAGGGGTTTATGATCTTTATACACTAAGAAAATGGTACATTGAAGCATATCTCGAAAATGCTCTATTGACAAGTAGATTGTTAGCAGTTCTCTTCCGAACTTACCATCCGTCGCTTGACTGGGACTTAATCTCATTGAGAAAAATCAAACTGGTTTGTATGTGTCATTTAAGGACTGCTGTAATACGGATCCAACAGTGATGTTCGACGCGTCAGTGATGACGGTCAATGGAGCTTCGCTTTTTCGTTGTACTAACTTTGTCTTTTTATTTAGCACTCGTTTAGCATACATAAATGCCTGTATAGCGTTTGCTGATAGATGGAGTGTCCCATCACGTCCTCTGAAAATGTCGGTCAACAACTGTAGTATTGTCATGTAGTTTAGAATAAATCGTCTGTAATACCTTGAGAATTGACTGTGTCCTAGAAATTTTAAAGATTTCTTTCCAAATACACATTGCTCAATGTCGATGGCGATACCATGTTTTTGCAGATTAACAAACAGCTCTTTCATTTGTCAATAATAATATAATAATATATTTATTCTCAAATAACTACGTTACAAGAGTCACGCCAGTTTACAGGCTAGATCAAATTGTCACAAATGCTTTCACAATTACTGTAAAGTTATAGCAGTTAAATTAAGTACAAGAGTCATTTTCTGATTGCATATTTACACCATGTCACTGACAGAAACAGTATTATACAGCCACATTTTCAATAGTAGAGTACAAATAAGGAAGGAAGGTGCATAATAGGTTCTTTTGGCGATTTGCCGAGATCAATAGTGAATTTGTTGGGAAAGGTCATATGGAACGTGCTTGATACGAGCTGTGATCCAGACAGTCATGTACCTAGGGTGCATGTTCCCTAGAGTCGCCAAGGATTTCCCACCGTGAATGGGAATCTGAAAAGGAGAAGAGAG